CAACTGAGAGACTGATACACACACGCAAAGGACATTATTAAAATGAGAAAAGTTTCCAGGTCTACAAAATAGAGGCTGCAACTGAATTGATTATAAATCGACTAAGCAGCGCTCTTGACCAAATTCAATCAAAGAATAAATTGGACTATCTTCAAGTAGAATATTGTGTAGGTTTGACTGGAGGAGTACCATGAGTGCAGAAAAGATGGAAGATAAACAAATTAAAACGAGTGGATGAAAGTTGTCATCGTCCGCGAGATCCATGGAAACCCCTCTCCCTTTCAGTGAGGCGCCCCCTCCCCCCATCCCAACATAGGTCCTGTAAACCAGCCCTTCTCCCAAAGAGTAACAAGTCAGGTGCCGGATGGATCAAGTACAGAAACAGCCTCAGAATCCTGTGGGGACATTCAGGAAGAAGATGCGCGTGATGATAGGAAATGGTTTTGGAACCGAGCGCATCGTGGGAAATGTGTGTAATTCAGCCACAGGAACAGGCTAAAAAAGGCTATTGAAAAGTTGATTCACTCATTGTGTGGGGCCAGATCCAAGTGTAATTGCAGTGGAGAAATTAGCATTCCATTATTGCAGAGCGGTTCTGAAAAACTGTGTCTTGGCCAATTTGTTTCTCTAAATCTGTGTAACATTATCGAACGTGAGTCAGGCGGTAATATTTTTCAGGCTCTGCCTACTTAGTGCCAAAACCCCTAGATGCAAAGTTAAAAAAAAAAAAACTATTCATACAGATGCAGATGTTTTTAACTCTATACCAAATATTTCACTTACAGTTTTCACTCTTATGAATAATCATTTTATAGGTTTTGGGTGAAAAAAACCCACTGATTTGCCTGTTAAGTAGGATTTTTCAGGGTGGAGAGGGGAGGGTGACTGTCCTGCACTGGGCTGTCTCTGGGCATTTCAGGATTGGAGTCTTTTAGGAACTGGACTTCTTAGCCCCCTCAAATTTAGTCATATCCATAAATGCATATAAACTTTGGACATATGCAGTCCTTTTAAAGAGTGTGCAATAATTTCAAATGTCCAGTTTTCAAGAAGAAAAAAGACTTATCAGAATTATAAAAATCAATAAATTCAAAGTATTTTCAAAATTATTATTTTTTAAATTGTGGTCAGAGGAATGCTATTATTTGAAGAATTCTTGCACCCAATTCTGCCCTGGATAAATGAGTCACAGGTGATGTTTCTACATCAAGTGGGCTCAGAGGTAGGAAATGAGAGACACCTACCTTAACATCCATCCTCTTCTTTTCGCTGAGTGACAGAACTCAAATTCCAACTCTTGGCTACATATGCGTGCGTACTCAGTCATTTCTGACTCTTCGTGACCCCGTGGAGTATAGCTTCTGCCCATGGGATTCTCCAGGCAAGAATACTGGAGTGGGTAGCCATTCCCTTCTCTGGGGGATCTTCCTGACCAGGGATCAAACCTGAGTCTCCCGCATTACTGGTGTTTTCTTTATTGCTGAGCCACCAGGGAAGTCCCTTGGCTACATATGTCATTTTCAAAAAAAAAAAAACTTCTAGCATTAAGTCCATGTGACAAATTCAGGTCAATGAAAGTAAAGTACAAGTGTTACACGTGGTGTGTAGGATGGACAGTTAAAGGGATCTGCTAAGATTTGTGGCTCAATTTTTGCTCTTTTGTCATTCTTTTCATTCTTCTGTTAGTCCAGAATGCAGGTGAGATGGCTGGAGCGCTAGTAGCCATTCTGGCTCATGTGATGACCCAGAGGATGCAACTTAATGATAGGATGACAGCTCAGAAAAATCAATGAAACTAGAGTCTCATTGAATTGTCTGCCATCCACCTTCTTGAAAAAAGAGAGAAAGCAAGACAAAAAAATCCTTGCTATCATTTGTACTGGGATTCCCAGGTGGCTCAGTGGTAAAGAACCCGCCTGCCAATATAGGACACACAGCAGGTGGGGGTTCAATCCACAGGTCAGAAAGATCTCCAGAGGAGGAAATGGCAACCCACTCCAATATTCTTGCCTGGAGAATCTCATGGACAGAGGAGCCTGGTGGGCTACAGTCTGTGGGGTTGCAAAGAGACAGACATGACTGAACACGGTGCACCATCACTTGTACTAGGGTTTTACTGTTACGTTCAGATGATCCAAATCTAACACAATGACTCTTTATCTATTAAATTAGAAAATCCTAACATAAGTCATTAAGATAATAGTGATTATTTTGTGGCGCAAAAAGCTCTAGATATTTGGATTGAACATGGGCCTATAAATAATGGTGAGATTTTTCATTTATTACCAGTTTCAGTGCTTCAAATGTATCACAGTGACAAACACCTGACACTCAGACACTGAGGCTTCAACATTAACTTGGACAATATCTGGGAAGCTGGGAATAAGTACCTGATCCATTCCTTGGGTATGCATATCTCTGAAAGCCCTTTGGAATGTATTTGATCTTCATTCTACTCTCTGAAATGTTTCCTTGAACTTGGTCTCCTCCCAGTTTCCTGCACGGTCGCCTTTACTCAGAACCTCACCATCTGCTCAGCTTTGCAAGAGCCTTGGCATCTGCCCACGCCCATCCCCACCATGTACTTCACCCCCCACCCAGATCTGAGATTTTTCTCAATCAAGGATCAGGTTCAGCGTAATGAGGTGGGAGAACCATGGTGTTCAGAGTCAGACAGACCTGAGTGTAAATTCTAACCGTTCTACTCACCAGCTGGGTGATCGTGGACAAGGTATTTAACTTTGGGGAATCGTTGGTAAAATAAAAATACAGTGGCATGCCTCATGGAAGGACATGTCCTGAAGTCACACAGGTCCAGCATTTGGCGGCTCTGGTTTTCATTAGGCGCCCCTCCCACAGCTGCCCCAGCCCTCTGCTCATCAGTTTCACTGCACTCAGGGCTCACGTGTGCCAAGGGCGAGGGAGCGGTGTGCTTTCTGATCCGCCCATTTCATGGTGTTCAGGTTGAAGCCATTGTCACCGGTGTGCTCCTGCCGAGTTCTGAGAACGTGCCATGTCCCCACACCCAGGAACTCTCGCTGACTCTGGCCACCTGGTCCCCACACATTCCCTGAAGCCAATTCTAGCAGCTGCAGGGCCTTGGGGCTCCTTTAGTCCATAGGGAAGTCTAAACTTACCCTGAAGAGCAGACCCCACCCTCCACTTTCGTCATATGAATCACCACGGCCTCCCTACTGCAGTGTCTTTGTGCACTTGGCTTCACTAATCCAGGCATGGCCGTCCAGAAGATGAAGCTGCAAATAACTACCTTGTTGGTTTCAGGAACTTCCCCAAAATCCATTTATATGGACATTGGATCAGTCAGCTTCAGTTTCCGTTTACTCTCCCACACTCACTCCAAAGCTCTCCCCTCCTAACCTGGAGCCACTGTAAGCAACCACACCCCACGCCTTACCCAATCAGGCCCTTGCTCAGAAAGTTTCCCAAGCCAAGAAGAGCCACCATCACCTTCCCTTCAGGATCAGAGGCCCTCCTGCAGTGGAAACAATGAACTCAGATTTGAAATGCAAATCAAACCACCAAGAGTTATCATCTCACACTGGTCAGAATGGCCATCATCAAAAAATCTGCAAACAATAAATGCTGGAGAGGGTGTAGAGAAAAGGGACCCCTCCTGCACTGTTGGTGGGAATGTAAATTGATACAGCTGTTATGGAGAACAGTGTGGAGATTTCTTTTAAAAACTATCAATAGAACTACCACAAGACCCAGCAATCCCACTCTTGGGAATATACCCTGAGATAACAATAATTGAAAAAAACACATGTACCTCAATATTCATTGCAGCCCTATTTACAATGGCCAGGACAAGAAAGCAACCTAGATATCCATTGACTAAAAATGGATAAAGAAGATACAGTACATATATACAACGGAATATTACTCAGCTATAAAAATGAATGAATTTAAGTCAGTTCTAGTGAAGTGGATGAACCTAGAGCCTATTATACAGAGTGCTGTTAAGTCAGAAAGAGAAAAACAAATATCTCTAATCATGCATATATATGGAATCTAGATAATGGTACTGATGAACCTCTTTGCAGGGAAGGAAAAGAGACACAGACACACACAGAACAGACTTGCGGACATAAAGAGGGGACAGAGAGGGAGGAATGAAGTGAGAGAGTAATGCTGAAACATATGCATTACCATATGTAAAGCAGCTAATGGGAAATTGCTGTCTAACATAGGGAACTCAATGCTGTACTCTGTGATAACCTAAAGGGGTGGGATGGGGTGGGATAGGGGAGGGAGGTTCGAGAGGGAGGGGATGTATGTATTATGGCGGATTCACAGTGATGTACAGCATTAACCAACACAACTTTGTAAAGCAACTATCCTCCAATTAAAGATGAAATTTAAAAAAAAAATTCAAATTGCTCCCCCACAAATGGTCACTGTTGCTTAAAGGAAAAGAAGTTCACTGGATATTTTTTTTGGTTCTCTAATTTCAGATTGGTTCCCTAAGCTTCCGGTTCAGCCTTGTAGGCAGATATGTACTCAAAAAATTATTTCAAGGTCTAAAGTGATCTTTTAAAACAGAATTTGGTTGTGTAGATTGGTAATTGTTAAAAAAAAAAAAGCTGAAATGAGTAAATTTTCAGGTTGTGCGAACACATTCAATACATTTATAGATTTAATGGTGCGATTAGTTGCTTTGCTTTCTTGCCTGAACACATAAAATTTATAATAGGTCTCGGATGTTTTCATAATTTGGCAATTTCTCCCTCAAAAGAACAGACAGGGGAGGAAAAGAGCACTACGACTTCTCAGCTGCAGAAACACACTCATGGTTTTTCTTCCTGAACACACTTCTGGCTCCTTAAAGAAGAGATGGTCCGATGATGATGTCCAGGAGATATGCAGTGAGAGCCAGAGGCAGACTTCACATTTTCTAGCAGTTACATTAAAAAAAAAATAAGTATAACAAAATGAAGGTGAATTTTAACACTGTATTTTATTCAAGCTGCTCTGTGCAGCATGGATTTGTGTCGCCCGGTGGCACTAGCCAGGACTTGAGCCGGCTGCTCCTGAACAGGCAGCAGGAGAAGGACGAGAAGGGCAAGGGTGAGGGCGGCGTGGATGAGCACAGTCTGCAGGCTGGGAAGGGCCGTGGACAGCGGGCCTCAGCCGAGCCCCCGTGACTCGGCCCCCGGCTGACTCCTCCTTAGAGTGTGCGACGATCGCCGGCGCTCGTAGCTCTCAGAATTGTAGTCAGAGTTAAATCACGCATGCAAAGCCCCTGGGAAACCCCTGGTGAATGTTCAGCACTGAATAAATGTTAAAACAGACACATATGTGTGTGCGCACGCACACACACTTTTTTAAGTTGTCCTGGGCATTTGGCAGTACTCGTGGGAACCGGTCAAATTCTGCTTGTCCAGGCCGGGGAATTAGCTTCTGCACATTCCGCAGTGGCTCAGTGATAAAAGATTCCGCCTGCCAATGCTGGCAAGACCGGAAACCAGCGTTCAATCCTTGAGTTGGGAAGACCCCATGGAGAAGGAAATGGCTACCTACTCCAATATTTTTGCCTGAGAATTCCATGGACAGAGGAGTCTAGTGACCTAGAGTCCATGGTGTTGCACAGAGTCAGACACGACTGAATTGACTTAGCACACACACATGTTTTCCATAAGGAATTTGCATTCACTCTTCATTAATTTTTTTGTTAAAATATTTATTTTCATTTATTTATGTGGCTGCACAGGGTCTTAGTGGGTTTGGAAGAGATGCTCCCAGTGAATTGAGGGAGACAGAGGGCATCTTCAAACATGAACAGTCATTCTGGGGTGTCAGTTGTTCTGAGAAGGAGTGTTTCCAACAAGAACATGGTGAGTCCTTCCTGATGCAATATGTGTATAGTTGAGAAGCTGCTGACAAATACTGAAGGTGCTGAAACACTTTCTTCCTGGACAAGGATTTCCTGAAGGCAGGGAGGTCTGGTCTGGGTGCATCAGAGCATGGCACAGCCAGAACTGGGTGTGGAAGCTTCCTCCTCTCTGGTCCGAGGGCGTTATTTATTTCTTTATTTTTTTGGTTGCCCTGGGCCTTTGTTGTTGCATGTAGCTTTCTTTGGTTGAGGTGAGCAAGGGCTACTCTCTAGTTGTGATGCATGGGCTTCTCATTGTAGGGGCTTCTTGTTGTGGAGCATGGGCTCTAGGATGCACGGGCTCCATAGATGTGGCAAATGGGTGGAGTTACCCCCTGGCATGTGGGATCTTCCCAGATGAGGGATTGAACATGTGTCCCTTGAATTGGCAGGTGGATTCCCAATCACAGAACCAGCAGGGAAGTCCCCTCGGGCCTTATTTCTGAAATTCAAGGATGCTAGTCTTGGCGAGAAATGTTCACAGCAATTTCCAATAGATAGATGTTTGATCCTTCACAAGCACTGTTAATGTCTGTCCCCAAAGTGCCATTCTTCCTTCCAAACATCTAAACTATCTCCTCGTACACTCGGTCCCGGATTTCATTCCAGACCGAATAAGGTAATCGGTCACAGAAGGAAAATAGCTGCATTTATATATGATAATACATATTTGAGTGGAAAACTCTGAAACAGCAGATGTTTCTTAGAGCAGGGAAATGTCCATTGTCTTTATGTTTCTACATATTTAATCACTGGTAAAGGTCGGCACAGAGTGTCCTTTACTCATTGGAGGCCAATGCGAAGCTGTCAATCCTACACAAGGCAGCTTTGAATCCAACTCAATAATTATGTTGTTCTGCCTTAAAAACAACAGCAAATATAAGTCATTTATATTTTCCTTATTTGGGGGCAATTACAATCCAAATGAAGATTTTCAATCCCAATTTGTCAAGTTAATGATTAGGGTGTCAGATTTGCATGATGGGTCTGTACAAGAAAAACACATCACAGGGGTGTGGCTGAAATGCAAAAATGATGCTTCTTTGAACAACTTTATCCAGATTGGTGGTGACACTGACCCCTTCTCCCCTCAGCCTGTTAGGATGTCGGCTGGTAAGTCGGGGGTTGACTGGATGCTGTTGATGGCCTACAGGAGGGACAGGGGCTTCTCTGGGGGTCAGAACTGGGTTGAATCCTGACCCTGGATTTGTCTCTGGCATGTGAGACAAACTATTCACTCTCCAAGTCCTGCAATGCTGATGGAAACCTTTCCAAGTGTTGGGTCTAGGAAGCTACAAGGACAAACTCAGGACCTCAGAACACCAGGAGGCGCTGTTGTCCCATCAGGATTTAGGGATAGTCCACAAATCTGGGCTTCCCAGGTGGTGCTAGGGGTAAAGAATCCCCCTGTCAATGCATGAGACTTAAGAGATGCTGGTTTGATCCTGGGTTGGGAAGGTCCCATGGAGAAGGAAATGGCACCCACTCCAGTGTTCTTGCCTGGAGAATCTCATGGATAGAGGAGCCTGGCTTGCTGCAGTCCATAGCATTGAAAGAGTCGGATATGACTGAAGCAACTTAGCACACATGTGTCTGGGCCCAACAAATCTTTTTTTTTTTTTTTTAAACATTCAACTTTGGAAAAGCACATAGCAGTGTTTATTAGAACTGGCCCTAAAATCCCTTTCTTAGTTTTAGACCTGAAAGAAATAAGTGAATACCAACAGATGTCATAATCTTGACTAATTCTTGTTTTCTTTCTTTGTGTTGACAGAACAACTCACAGGTAAGTAGACAGAGCCCCATGGCTGAGATATTAAAAACAGTGGAAAGTGGTCCAATCTGAATGTATCTTTTCCTGGTTTTCTGGTCTTGGACAACTTACCTACTTTCCTGAGCAACAGTTTCCTCATCAGTGTCTTTGGGCCTTGGGATGTTTACTTCATAAAGGTGCTTGAGGATTTCAGGACATGACTATATGGGCATCAGTGATGGGGTCTGACGGTGTTGACAGTGATTAACCAGTTAAATCTGCTTGTGTTGTAATCAACTGCTCAATCATGACAGGAAATAGCAAGGTACTGCTCCCAGACCACAATAAAATGGATGTGATGTGTGGAAAGAGACATAGAAAACATGAGTTATAAGAAGATTAGTAAAATATTTATGTATCATGATGTCAATTTTTAAAACATTTTCTAGGGAGCCAAATCAAAAACTCATTTACCCTCTTCTTTTTGCTCAAAATTACAGTGGAAGAATTTTACTTCTCTGCCTAAAGGCTCCAGGACTTTTCACGGGTTGGTGACAAGGTTTTCATCTGAAAACAACCACAGCGAAACTCACGATCAGTTTTTATTTCCTACCAAATATGAGAGGTACAGTACTGAACACAATTGTATTGCATTCAGGTAAGAAATTGTAGGGGTTCCCTGGTGGCTCAGGCAGTAAAGAATCTGCCTGCAATGCAGGAGACCCAGGTTCAATTCATGGGTTGGGAAGATCTGCTGGAGAAGGGCACGGCAACTCACTCCAATACTCTTGCCTGGAGAATTCCATGGATGGAGGAGCCTGGTGTAATTGTTTGAATGAATGGAATACATTGTCTTTAATGGAGATTTGATCCTTCTTTGGTTTTAGATCTTTCTTTGGTATTCTGAAGTCTGTGTGTGGAAATTACAATTCTTTAGCACAGATGTTTATAAAATGACCCCCTCTCCCACTTACCTGGGCTTCTTGCTTCTTATGGCCTCACTTCTCACTCATTTTTGGATATCTCAAACACCTGCTTGGTGGATGACCGTCTCATTGTCATCTTTTGTAGATGCTTCTCCACGCTGCCTGCAAATTCTTTCTTCCAACTTGCCAACTCGTCTGTAACCAGCGCTTCTTTCCAGGGAATCGGAGTCAGGGTGGTACCCTGCTCACTGTGTCCATAGGAGGCTGTGTCCCTGTCACTCACTTCCCTGTCCCCTGCTAGGTGGAACTCCCCGGGAGTGGGTCTGGCACACGCGTCTTCTGATAAAACACCTGTCGTCTGAACATCTCTGACTCGGCATCCTGTCTTGTTTCTCCTCTTCTTTCACATCGACTGGGATGTGTAAGTGGCTCGCGGATATAAAACTCCATGGAGGGCAAGATGCCCGTGCTCTGCAAGGAGTGCATGGAGCAGGTTTGCGGCTTGCGATTCCTTCATAAGATGGATCACATGTGCATCGTAGATACATCAACTGGTGATTACAAGCGAGCTACAAGGACTTCCCTGGTGGTCCAGTGGTTAAAGAATCAGCTTAGAAATACAGGGGACATCTGTTCGATACCTGGATCAGAAAGATCCCACATGCCTTGGAGCAACTAAGCCTGAATACCACAACTACTGAGCCGGCATGCCTAGAGTCTGGAGCCACAACTCTCGAGTCCAGAAGCCGCAAGGACAGAATCTGAGTGATACAGTGAAGTCCCCCACTTGCTCCAACTAAGATCTGATGCAGCCAAATAAATAAGAAAATTTTTTAAAATATTAAAAAAAAAACAAGCTAAATATATCTTTAACTGCTGTGTGCCAGCCCCTGTGATGCAAAGGTCTACTCAGGTATCTGTCTTTTCTCTGGGGACCCAGACTCCCTTTCAGTCAAGTTTGCTTTAACACAAGGATGACATGGGTTTTTTTTAAAAAAACTATATTGAGTATAAATGGCAACCAACCTAGAGACGTGTAAAAGTTAGCAAAAAACTGGAAAATTAAATCAAGCTGTTTGAAACGAGATAGGAAAAATATGCAAGACAAAGAGGTGCTGTGAAGAATTAATGATTTCCCTTTAATCTGAGTTCAGCTGGCTTGTAGGAATACACAGAGATACTCCTCAAGCAGGGTTAGCATTAGGAGGGTGGGGCCTCTCTCTTACTGCTCACCAGACGCGGGTGAATTTCCAGCAAAGGTTTCCTGACATCGGAGGCAATGGCCCTTCTGTATGTGCATTTACTGGAACCCAGGCTGGGATGGCATAGCAACTGGCAAAAAGTCCTCTCCACTTGGGGTGAGAAATCAAGCCAAGCAGACTGGTTGACGGACCCCAAAGAATCAAAGTGACGCAGAGGCTCAGGGGTGCCCTCCGCTCCCCCACTGAGCTCCTGGGGCAGGGGGACAGTGTTTATCATGGGCTGGCCACAAGCATCTCTATATAGCAGCTCGAGAAGGACCACAGTGAAACTCTTTTCCGTTTTTATTTCCTACCATACACCAAATGTACAGCACTGAACACAATCGGTTGCTTTGATGTAAGAAATATTAATTGTTTGAAGAAACAGTATACAAACTACTTCAAATTAAAAAAATGCATACATCATTGCCTTTTTGTTTGTTTGTTTACAAAAGACCCAATTTACAATATCGATCATTAACATCATGGAAAGAAACAAAAATTCAGTGCACGTTACAAAACAGACCAAGTACAAAGGAGGAAAATAAAAACAAACATCCTTCACAAAACCATCCTGTTCAAACTACGCAAACACAAATCAACGAACCTGAATTGCAGTAAATTATGGTAATAAATACATAGGTTGGTAAGAGATTTCTTTTAAATTAAATAAAATATATAACAAACTCGTTAAAATATTTAGCAAATTAAACCTTTGTCTTTGTAATAAGTGAACTCATTTGTATGCATCTATCGAGGACTGTATAGCAAAATGTTTGTAAATACATAACTTTAATAGAAAATTTCGTTTGGTGTCCCATTTATAATAGACAGCACACGCGTTAGCTCTTTTTTCTTAAAGTTGATTTTAAATACTCACCGCTCCTACCTAAGAACAGACATCTCATTTTCACTAGACTAAGAGTCAAGGATTTCAATGAATGCCAAACCAAAGATAAGCCCCACCTAATACAGAACAATGACTAGTGTCACGGTGGGGGGAATTACTGCGCATGGCACTTCAGCTGGTGCAGCAACAGTAACAACAGTGGAAAACAGCAAGCCTGCGAGCACCATGGCATCCAGTCCACATACACATCCATGTTGCTAAGAAAAATAAACACTTTGTTACAGCACAGAAATCAAGCCCATTTACACAGAGGCACGTCGCACACTCAGGGTGTGTGCACAGCAAAAAGGCAGTTTAGCTGGTTGTCTATACCTTTCTCTTAAAAAAAATAAATATAAAAAAACTTTTGAAACAATGCTTAACTACTTTACAATCCCTGAAATAGACATCGCCTTTCCTATAGCAACTACTAACCTCTGATCCATCCAGAAACTCGAGATTGAAGGCTCAATCTCATGTCGGTGAGCGTGTCTGTGTGCCTGTGGGTGAGTGTGTGTACTTTGCAGCACGCCTCTGTCTGCAGAAAGACTTTTGCCAAATCGAAAGCTCAGGAGGCTGAGACAATGTTGCCAGTGTTTAAAGCAATGACTCAGATCCGGGTACCATTCTTGCTTGTGTGACTGTATTTTCCATTCCTTTCCAGTCAACCCAGTAAGATAAATGCTATTTCAGGGGGATATGGTATCTACACAGTTTTCCATTTGGGTGCGTTTACATTTGCTAAGTACAAATCTACAACACTGTCCCTTGTGTATTGTACCAACAAGTGGCAGGAAAGCCTGGCCAGTCACATTGAGTCTTATTTCTCGTCTTGGGGTAAGAGCTGCCAGCTATCTGGTGTAACCTGAAAAACAAATAGACAAACCTGCATCGCTAAAAAGCTTGTTTCTTGAAATAATTTCAAATAAATAATTCATATGAACTGAAACCAGACAGCGAAGTCGAATACTTTGCTGATTGCTCTATTTAATTATTGCTAACAAATTTGAAACAGGCTGGTTTTCAGTCCACTGTGCTTCTTTCTGTAGGGCACACATCCTGTGAGTGAGTGCCTTTTATCTTGTGTTCCTCCACGCATTTTACCCAAGCCCGTTCATAAACACAAACCTCGTGAAAGGGGTTGGGGGTGGGGGTAGAGTGTGCAATAAAAATTAAACTGGACCACAGTGCAGTCCTTAGACAAGGATTTTCCTTCATATTTTCTGTCTCCTCCTTTAAACCCAGCCAGATATGTGATTTGAGAATAGCATTTCTAATATTTAAATTCTATTGGAAAATAAATTAATAAACACACTTGTAAAAATATGGCAGACTTCAAAATGCAGTTAAAAGATAAAAAACTCTTTGATTAGAAATAAATAAAATATAAAAATGTCACATTTATTTTACATATACTGTACAAAAAAAAAACCCAAAAGAGTGCAATGAAGGAATAAAAGGAAAACGTATGAAAATAAATAAGATCTAATATTTGACTGCATTGCTTTTTCATCCAAAGAGTCTATCATAGTTTTTCTTTCCTTTTCATGTCAGCTGGGTGGGGGGGGGGAATTAGTGCAATGTTGCAATTGTAAATGCAGTATGGCCACTGCCTGCCCGGGTGGCCTGGAGCCCCTCCAGGTGTGGCAGGGCTCCCCAGGGCTGGGGCGCTGCGGTCTACACGTGGATGCCCTTGACCGCCTGCCTGATGCTCTCCAGCAGAGCTTTGCATTCCGGCGAGGAGTCCCGCTCCAGGTTGCTGTACATGTCTGTGAGCGTGTTGACATACGCCTCGAAATTCTGCTCGCTGATGGGCCCCTGAAGGAGGACAGAACATGGGGCTCCAGTCACGTGACCTGGGCTGCTGGGAAAGGGGGAGCAGGTGTACGGGGTGTGGTATTCTGACCCTGGAGCCTGGGGAGGGGTGAGGGGCCCCGTGTGGCGGTCGGAGTTCAGGGGGAGGCAGGGGTGAGTGTGTGATGGGCTGGTCTGCTCACTCTTGACTCAGCTACCGGGGTGAGTGTGACCACTTGTCTGTGCGTGTGCGCCATCCCTTCAGTTGTGTCCGGCTCTTTAAGACCCCATGGACTGTAGCCCACCAGGCTCCTTTGTCCATGAGATTCTCCAGGCAAGGATAGTGGAATGGATTGCCATTCCCTACTCCAGGGGATCTTCCCAACCCAGGGATTGAACCCACGTCTCTTACATCTCCTGCACTGGCAGGCAGGTTCTTTACTACTAGCGCCATCTGGGAAGGCCATCCGCCTGTCCATACTTTGGGAAAAGCTTGGAGCCACACAGGGTGGAGGTCTGGCTACTGGGTCAGGCCCCTCCCAGCTACACCCCTTCTGCTGAGGAGGGGTCTCAGCCTCAGCTCATGTGTCCATGAGCTCAGCACGGAGACCTCATCTGTGGAAGGGGGTGCAGGCCGGGTGGGGGAGGGGAGGCCCTGCTCATGCCAGAAGCTTCCCCAGACTGCCTGAGCTGGGACCAAAGGGATGTGGAGGTGAGGGGGCAGCTGTCTGGTGGGAATTGTCCTCTTTCATCCTCAGACCCCTTTGCCCACATCCCCCTTCCAGAGAGTCAGAGGCAGGCTCTTTTCCCCCTTTCTCTGTCCCTCCAGGTGACGATGGGAGCCACAGCCAGGTTTGCTCACCTCGGCTCTCTGTGTGCTGGGGCCCCTCTTCTCCCTGACCTGATGGCTCAGACTGAACAGCCCCCGACACGTGGAAACTGCACATGAGTGGAAGGACCGAGTGACCAGCAGGTCTCCCCTGCCCGAGACACCCCTCTGCCTTAGCCCTGGGAGGGAGGCTGGGGGCACGGGGAGGGAGCAGTGGCCTCAGACTGACCATCTGTGGGAGCTGGATGTCAGCAAGGCTGGAGATGAGGGCCTGGCTGAGCCCCGCCAGCTCCTTCAGCAGGCTCTCGTTGTTCTGTTCTATCAGCTTGTTCTCCTCCTCGATGGTCTTTAAGTTGCTCTCCATGGACGTGATCTGAAAGGGAGAGAACTTGGGAACATGGAAGCAGATTCCGGAAGGACAGGGCACCAGGTGGGTCTTGTCCCATCCTGACCCCCTTCCCTCTTTCTTTCTTTTTTACCTGTGTCTGGAGTTTCATCATATCAGCTTCAATTTTAAGGTTGGACTCGTTGAGTTCCTTTATTTCTTCATCCAAATGCCTAATTTCTTCATCACTCTCTATACCTGTAAAAAGTCAGATTATTTCAGTTCAAAGTGAAAAAAGAAGACTGACAAATCTGAGTCCATTTATGTTTAATTTGTGGTTTGCTAAGTGAGAGCTGGACTGTAAAGAAGGCAGAGCACCAAAAAATTGATGCTTTTGAACTGTGGTGCTAGAAAGACTCTTGAGAGTCCCTTGGGCTGCAAGGAGATCAAACCAGTCAATCTTAAAAGAAGTCAACCCTGAATACTCATTGGAAGGACTGATGTTGAAGCTGAAGCTTCAATACTTTGGCATCTGAAGCAAAGAGCCAACTCACTGCAAAAGACCCTGAGGCTGGGAAAGATTGATGGCAAAAGGAGAGGGTGACAGAGGATGAGATGGTTGGATGGCATCACCAGTGCAATGGACATGAACTTGGGCAAACTCCAGGAGATGGTGGGGGACAGGGAAACCTGATGTGCTGCAGTCCATGGGGTTGCGAAGAGTTGGACACGACTTGGCAAATGAAAAACGACAAGTGAAAGTAAGACTTTAACTTTAAATGTTGAATTTTTACCCAAATCCATGTCCAAGATTCTAAGAAAGTGTGTTCAAAGAGTTGCAGGATGTACTCCCTTGGTAAGACATGCCCTAGGGTTAAATGTAGCTCTGCTGTGTTCCAGGTCTGCTGCCAGATGGGTTCACAAGTAAGGTCTCATTGGAAATTGGCTGGACCCTGTGGGGCAGGTGTCATCACCCCTCCTCCCATGAAGGCCAGAGCCTCACAAGGGCTAAAGGAGGCTCACTGACCACCCACACGACCACATCACCTGGCTGGGGCCAAGGGAAGGGGCAGGGCAGACCTGAGATCCAAGGCCTGTGAGTCCTCTTGTGCACAATGCTACCAAGACAGGAGCACCTGGACTGAGCTGATTAATGACCAAACGTAGGGACCTTCTGAGCCACTATTAGAGTCAGAGGGGGGTCCTGGCAGGTGGGTTCGAGCCCAGGGACCCACAGCTTGGCTTCTTCATGGACTTTAATCAGAAGCAAATGTGGTCTGAGGGCAGTGCGGCTTTGGAGTCTGAACACTGCCTGACCCTTGTTCTTGAAGTTGAGTTACTTTACCTCCTCATGCTTCAATAAAATGCTGTGAGAATTAACACAAAAAAACATAAAGTGCTGAACAGACAACAGGTTCTCAATGAACGGGGTTATCTTCCCGTCATTCTTTTATAAGAGGAATATGAATGAATATTAAAGATTTTAAAAGCTAGGAATAGTGGCTGATATTCAGAGGCCAGGAGCAGGATTTAAGGTCATCTCAACAGTCCAGAATGACAACTCTAAACCAGAAGATGACAATTCAGCAGGATAAATGTGGTCGCCAGCATTTAGATTTAGTAAGATCAACACCTGGAAGCAGGCTGGGTGGGAGTCGACAGCTTGTATGAAGAGGTGCAGGCTCTGGTACCCTCCTGGGTGACTGTTCTGGAACAACAGTGCATCACCTACTGAAGCTGGGCCTCACAGGCTCCATGGCCCAGCAACTTTATCCCTAGGCCCACACCTGGGGCAAACTCTACAACAGGAGGATGTGTGAGGTGCACGAGGCATATTGTGCATGGAAGCACAACCTGGAAACAAGCCACTATTTCTAAGAGTCATGCATGGATTTAAAAGATGGAGCAATGCTTTCAGAGAAATAAAGTAGCAACAACTGCGAGTCCCTGGCTCAGTTCTACTCGTGTAGAACTGAGTGTCAAAGATGCCATCAACTAAAATTGATAAAGCAAAGTAATGACTTCGCCTCTGTTCCCCAGATGCGTCAGGATGATCTTGTAAGAGAAGAACACATGTGTGAGAAAACGCTGATGAGAACTCAGGAAAAGTACTCGGGAATCAGAGGGACATGAGAAGATTCCAGTAGGGAGGATGGCTTAGCCACTGTGTCGGGGGTCGGCCCTGGGAAAACGTGCAGGGAAATAGACACAGAGATGCTGAATTAAACCATCTGGATTCACCATAAAAATATCATTCTGGGTGTTAGGACAAAAGGTAAGGATTCAAACATAGGTGCCCAGACCTTGAAATTTGATAGAGGGCTCATACCAGGAACACACATACATGCAGGCTCATACAAAAACTGTCATTTTAAGATTGAAGGACACAAGTCCAACCAGTGTACCCTAATTCATCCAGCATCATTGCCCGATTTTTTCTGTTGGAGATCCTTATTAAAAAATAAGGAAAAAAACCAAGACATTGTTTTTAGAGAAAGTTATAGCTTAGTTCAAATTCCAGGAAAGTGTCTTTCTTGCCTGTTCAAATAGCACTTCCAGCATGGAGCAGGGTTTGGATGTGGGCCCCTTGGGGGGCCAAACCTCGGGGGTCATGGCCCCGCCCTGTCCTCCTACCTCCAGATGCTTTGACCTTGATGGTCATTAGTTCTTCGGAGACCTTGCCCTTCTTGATGGCTTGTGCATTGAGAGGACATCCGGACAAGCTGTGAAAGTGAAAATTACACCAGTGGGTGAAACCAGTACTGTTTCTTAGAAAAATTAAAATTTTGTATTCACTACATACTCTTTAAGTCTTTGCCTGCCTACTCATTACATTATAATCTGCAGTCTCTGTGCAGAAAGTAACAATATCTTCTAAAACAAAAGTAGTGAAAGTGAAAGTCGCTCAGTCATGTTTGACTCTTTGCGACCCTATGGACTATACAGTCTGTGGAATTCTCCAGGCCAGAATACTGGAGGTAGCCGTTCACTTCTCCAGGGCATCTTCCCAACCCAGGGATCGAACCCAGGTCTCCCACATTGCAGGCAGACTCTTTACCAGCTGAGTCACAAGGAAAGCCCAAAAGTACTGCAGTGGGTAGCCCATCCCTTCTCAGGCAGATCTTCCTGACCCAGGAATTGAGATGGGGTCTCCTGCATTGCAGGCGAATTCTTTACCAGCTGAGATACCAGGGAAGCACACAAATAATGCAAAATGTTTTGTACTTTTTCCTAAAATACAAATAGCTACTGTTGATCATTATCATTTAATTAATTTTTTAAAAATATCACTATTTTGTATTTTTGTGTCATTTTTTTCTTTTAGCAGTAGTTACTCTATTTTCTGTAAGTGTAAAATTGTACCTATATATTTTGAATAAGATTTGCTCCAAATTAGTCAAAATGTCATGGATAATAAATCTAGTTCTTTCTGTCTCTATACACACCGTCATCAGATCTTTACAGAATGACTCAAAATAATACAAGCTCAAAATAATTATTCTACCTTGTGATGGCAAATTCAGTTTGGGTAAGTGAAAGTTTTGCTTTACACTTTAATTTTTCTTAAAAAAATTGTTTTGTTGGAGTATAGCTGTTTTACAATTCTGTATTATTTTCTGCTGTACAGAAAAGTGAAGCAGCTATTCTGTAACTTTTTAAAACATCATTTTTCATTAAAAAAATCTCTGTTGTTTAGTTGCTAAGTCGTGTCCAACTCTTCTCAACCATGTGGACTGTGGCCCGCCTGGCTCCTCTGTCCATGGGATTCTCCAGGCAAGAGTACTGGAGTGGGTATCCTTCCCTTTCTCCAGGGGATCTTCCCAACCCAGGGATCGAACTCGCGTCTCCTGCATTGGCAGGCAGGTTTTTTACCACTGAACCACCTGGTACCTGACAGGAAAAGAAAAGGAGGGGCTGCAGGTATATTTATGTGCCTTCATTGCTCACAGTGCACTGTCTTGTAGACTGTTTATATATCTTTCCTACAAAGCTGTTCCATTCAGGCCTGCTCCTTTCATCTGTTTTATTTAAATTGCTCCAAAATGATAATGACAACATTGAACAAAACATGCTTTCTGTTAGACATGATGAGATGATTTTTTGTTCTAAGCAGCCATTAATTTTTTGTCATTTGTTATATTTTTGGATCAACAATTTTGAAATAAAATTAAAAAATTATAATAATCAACCATTGAAAATATTTTTTCCCACAGAAATTTGGTTTCTAATTATTCATGAAACAATCATTTTCCATCCAAAGATTAGGACATTTGGTAGAGTGAAAGAGGATATTTCTGAAGCAAAACCCTTAGTAAATGCTTGTAGAGTGCAAGCATATTTTGAAGAATTTAAAATTAATATTTAAAATATAAAGATGATATGAAATAAAACAACACAGATATGTAATACTACATGTAAAAGGAAGGCTGTGTGGTTTTCCAAGACTTGATAAATTATGAAATATTTTCACAGGGAAATAAAATAATGGAAAAGTAGAAACTGAACTGTGACCATGATATTCTGTTTTGGAAACTGCTCACGTAAAGCATGGCCTCAACTGGCACAACATTGCAAAACAATTATCTTCCAATAAAAAAAAAGAAAGAAGATGTGAGAAAAAAGAAAAAAAGCCTCTATAAGCTGCATTATCCTTTTTTTTTTTTTCTGGGAAGTTTTTGCAAGGCTGTCTTGTTTTATGTCACCTATTGTATTCTTAGAAAAGGGTCACAAACAGGATTACTGTCTAGTTGGTAAATGGGACTTTAAAAGTGACCTGTGGGAGGCTGGTAACAAGATGGATGTTAACACCTCCAGAGAGTTCTCTGACTCTACCCTTGAGGGTCTGGGTTACCCAGACAACACAGGGTGAGAGGAGCGGTCGTGTGGATGGTCAGTGAAGCCCCACAACCACGGGACTGACATCTAGTACAGTTCATGACAGATTCGAGACTCCGGTCTAAAACTGCCACTGCGGGCTTCCCTGGTGGGCCAGGGGTTAAGAGTCCGAGCTTGCAATGCAGCGGGCACGGGTTCCATCCTGGTGGAGGAACTAAGATCCCACATGCTCGTGGCGGGGCCAAGAAAATTTTTAAAAACACTAGTGGGTATTTTCTATCTCCTCGGATACGAAACAAATCCTAAATTTAAGAAAACTGGGGTTTGAAAATATTTTTAAAGTTCCTTTTTCTTTTGAGGAGGCCAGGTCCTCCACAAGGCTCAGTTCTGCTGCTCAGGGAAAGGGAAGGTTGGCCGGGCATCACCTTCAGGGTCTGGGCTATGTGTTGTAAAGGCAGGAAGGATGTGCTTTTTATGGCTTGGACCAAATTCACAGTGCTATTGAAGTACAGGAAGGCAATTTTAAACTATATCTTTGTCTGCCCTGTTATAATGAAATTGCAGGCGACACATTTGTGTGAGGGACATCCCTCTATAATATATTTATAATCTTCAATAAAATGACAGTTACATGTAGTAATAAATGAGTTATATTTAGTCCCAAGACTTTTGGTTTTCAGCTTCGAACATCCATGAGTGTGTGTGTTTTTTTGTGTATTTAATACAGCACCATTTGTCACCTCAGTTGCCGTTCTTTCAAAGTGGAGGTTTGTAACATGAAGACGCAAAGCAAAGTTGTAAAGTAATTAGCATGTAACCCTGATGCTAGAAAAGATAGAAGGCAGGAGGAGAAAGGGGCAGCAGAGAATGAAATGATTGGATGGCATCACTGACTCAATGGAGATGAGTTTGAGCAAACTCCAGGAGATAGTGAAGGACAAGGAAGTCTGGCATGCAGCAGCCCACGGGGTTGCAGAGAGTCACACACGACTTAGCGACTAAACAGTAACAACAAACACAGCCCTGACGTCATGCACATGTAACTGTTCTCTAGGCAAGTTTCATAACTATTCTCATTTTGCTGAATCTTAAATGAGAAAAGTTACAGACCGTGCCTTAGAGGATGGCCAAGAGAAATCTGCAGGAGTGTTTGCCTGGTGGTTGGAAGGAGCCAGGAAATACCAGGGGTGGGCTGGGACCTAGCTCAGAAGAGCTTTGTGTCCTGATGCTGTGAGCTGTGAACGGGGACAATGCTTGAACTTCTGCACAAGGATTTGTCTGTCAACAGAGGCAACCATAGTGCCTGCAGCTCATTGGGTTTGTGAGGATTTAAAGGAATAAACAGTGTGAGGAACTTAGTTGGAACAGGCTCTCTGCCAGGACAGAGCAACCTGGATAGTGGCGGGCCTTTGGTAGAGATGGGAAAGACAACTGAACCACATCAGGATGTTAGGGGAGAGAACAGGACAAATAAAGGTGTATTGTAGGTCAGTAGTGTGATCCTAGCACAAGTCATTTCGACTGTAATGAATTATTGCATACCTGCACATATATTAATACAACTGTACAAAAGGGAAAGGAAATAGTCTGTGTCAAACACTTATTATGTGACAGGCAATAAGCTAGGCATTTTATTATATTACTTGTATGAAATCCCATACAGCGTAAAAGAAAAGCGTTCCATCTCAAAGAGAATTTCCCCAGGTGACGTTCAGGCTCTCTGAGCAGCAAGACTGAAAAGCAGTGAAATCTGAATTATTCATTTGTCTAAAGTCTTAATTGTTTCTCTTCTATAAAATAGTATCTCCGCATTAATATTGCAGCCTATACTTTTTGAGCTCCTAATTTCTTTTTTCATGTTATGAAATAAACGGTCTGTACATAGATACACACAATGCATATCTGCAGTTGAAAGAACAGCCTTGAGGGGTTTACCACGCGTTTACCTGCAAACACAGAGCACGCTTTCCTCACCAGCCCTGTAGCAAGAGCTGTCTCTTGGCCCCCAGAGACGGCCACTGACTTCAACTATAGAGGGATAATTGCCTGACTCCTTAAAAATGGGATTTTGCTACGTGTTTTTTCACTTGGTGGAAATAGAATCACATCACACGTGTCCCTCGGTACTGAGTCACTCAGTCCCTGCTCCAGTCCTCGAGGCGCCTTCAGGTCCACACAAATCGGCAGCCTGCACGTGGAACCACTGCTGTTTCCTGTGCTTCGGGGACCATGGTGGGGGGCGGGTGGGGGGCCAGTGGGGGGCTGGTGGGGGGCAGGTGGGTCCCAGCCTGGAGTCAGGAGAGTGGACTTCCTGGGACACGTCTGTCTCCGGCTCCAGGTTCAGGAGTGTCTCTGGGGCTGAGCTGGCAGCTGGATGGCAGGGCACCCTCGCTCACCTGCCCCATTACACCTGATACGTCAGCTTCCTGACACAGTTCTTCCAGCTCCTCCTCCTCCATCCACAGCCCTGAGGGTCCCTGCACCCTCATCAGGCCTTGGTGTCATCACGGAAGACTACCTGGGAGTTCACAGAGAATTCTAACTGAGGGATGCGCTTGCCACCGTCCAGCACTGATGTTTCATTATTGATGCCAACATGGATGTTACAGGCTCTGTGATAAGGAAGCATGACCACTGTGGAGCCCGTGTGCCCCTCGGCTCACCTGATTTGTGACTGTCCTTCCTAAATAGGAGATGACAGTGCAGACCCAGCAGAAAACAGTGTGCGCTGCTGTGAATGTGATCAGGCATCTGAGAACCATCAGAAAAGAAACCACCGGAAGAGTTCAGGGGCACTTCCCTGGTGGTCCAGTGGCTAAGACTCTGCACTCCCAATACAGAGGGCCCAGGTTCAATCCCTGGTCAGGGAACTAGATCCCAAAGGCCGCCACTAAAGATCCTATATGTTGCAACTAAGACCCAGCAGAGCCAAATAAATCCATAAGTAATAAATAAATGTTAAAGGATAAAGAGTCCAGCTTCCTCTACAAGCAGGTGTGACTCTCGGAGAAGAGAACCTCATTTCCCGACACACAGACATGCACCTGGGAATGGAATCAGCTTTGCTGTGTTTGCATCCTGCCCATGAGCAGAGCGCCAGGACTCCCTCGTGCTTCATTAGATCTTAAATCTGCATCATGAACCACGGCCCCATGATGGGAAGAGCACAGTGCCAGAAGAAGCGTGCAGGAACCCTCCAGGTCCTCTCCTTGGGGTGGAATGAGGACGACACCTGGGCTAGGATCAGTGCTCCTGGCCACGGGCCGGGGTGAATACATGCCACTGAGTGAAGAAGGAGCTGAGCACTTGGGAAGCTAGAAAGGCTTTTCTAAACCTCTCCCGCCCTCTGTGTACTTAGCAGTGGCTGTGTCCTTTACTTTCTGGCTGCTGGGGACGAGTCACAGCTTCCCAGCTGCAAACTATCTACCATTTGGTCTGAAATGGAGCCAGTTTGTGAGCAGAAGGGAATGACATCAAGGAGTAAAGTGAAGCTTCACAACCATATGACATCAGAGAGTCACTGTCACCACCCAGAAGTAAAACAAACCCTTGAAAGACAGAACCATCCAAAAAACAGTGGCACGAGCAACATTTTAGGACAAAAGCACAGTTTCGAAAGTACCTGAAAACCGAGCAGGGAATTTCAGAAATAGAGAAAAGAACATTTTCCATCCTTCAAACTGGTCTAATATCTCTCTGGCAAGAATCATTGCTCGAAATCTAAGGTGCTCATTGCTCAAGCATTCCTGACCTTGGGGGTCTCTCCCCCCAACCCAGGAGGTGACAATCAGTCATAGCAACCACATGACAGACAGCAAAGCTCACCTCCTGTGGGTGACGAACACGTTGTTGACATGGCCCAGCCCATTGCAGCCTGGCAGGGGGCAGTGAGGAAGTTCCTGTTTGTTCAGTTTCCAGGAGAGGGGTGCCCCATTGAGTGGGTTCTCCTTCTGTCTCTTGGCAGCCAGGGGACATCCAGATGCTGTGCGGTGGGATGTGTATTTACCTGATATATGACCTTGGCCGTCACACCCAATCACAGGGCATCTAGAGAGACACAGCACAGTCATTAGCTGCTGGGGGAGATGAGATAACCCAGGTGAGGCGCTGTGACCAAATCAAGGAGGTGATGGTGAGTTCAAATCACACAGAAATCAACTGAGGGAGATGACAGGGTTTACCAGATGTCTGGTAGATGCTGTCTACCTTCAACCAGGGAGACAACGGATCCTGGCAATAACAATGGTCCCCAGGCTCTGAGCTAAGTAACTGTCATGCATCATCTGGAGGAGAGAGTTGTCATCCCATTTTATCATGTCATTGTGTCAACTCCCTTCAGTCATGTCTGATTCTTCCTGACCCTATGGATTGTAGCCCACCAGGCCCCTCTGGTCAAGGGACCCTCCAGGCAACAATACTGGAGTGGGTTGCCATGCCCTCCTCCAGGGGATTTTCCCAACCCCAGGATAACACCCACATCTCTTAATGTCTCCTGCATTAGCAGGTAGGTTCTTTACCACTAGCGCCACCTGGGAAGCCCATCCCATGTTATAGGTGGGGAGAATGAGATTTCAAGAGCTCAGGGAACCTGCCACCCAGTTTACAGGGAGTGGAGGCTAGTTTGTGGCCACACTCTCAACTTCAGAAACAACCAGGGAAGCACCTGGTTACTGGTTACATTGCCTCCAGACAAAGTTCAGTTCAGTTCAGTCGCTCAGTTGTGTCCTACTCTTTGCGACCCCATGAACTGCAGCACACCAGGCCTCCCTGTCCATCACCAACTCCCGGAGTCTACCCAAACCCATGTCCATCGACTCAGTGATGTCATCCAACCATCTCATCCTCTGTTGTCCCCTTCTCCTCCTGCCCCCAATCCTTTCCAGCATTAGGGTCTTTTCCAATGAGTCAACTTTTTGCATGAGGTGGCCAAAGTATTGGAGTTTCAGTTTCAACATCAGTCCAGACAAAGACTGAGGGTCTAAATGTTAACAGCCTCTCCTGCATCACAGAGCCCATGGCTCAAAAAACGGGAGATTTGGCTTCCAAACGACTAAGGGTTTCATGTTGTAGAGCAAAAATTGGTACATTTCCACACTTGTCTCTGCATCCATCACCCAAGTGAAAGTGCGAAAGTGTTAGTCTCTTCAGTCGTGTCCCACTCTTTGCAACACTACAGACTGTAGCCCACCAGGCTCCTCTGCCCATAGGATTCTCAGGTGAGAATCCTGGAGTGCATTGCCATGTTCTCCTGCAGGGAATCTTTCTGACCCAGGGATGAAACTCACTTCTCTTTTGCATTGGCAGGTGGGTTCTTTACCACTAGGGCTACCTGGGAAGCCCATCACCCAAAGCTCGAGGCATATTTCTCAGAGGAGGGAATTCAGTTTAGACAAAATTGTGTCTAAGGCACGATGGAAGTTCCAGGGGAGGTGCAGCCACGTTGATGACACCAGGACACATCCCCAGGAGGCTTCCTTTTGAAACAAACTGAGAAAATAAACCCACCACTCCTTCTGCAGCATCCGAGAACCAAGAGAGCAGACGGGGGGGAGGGGAAGTTTCCTCCAGCCCCTGACCAGTCTGTCTGTGCTGTTCCAGCGCTTGTGATGCTCATGATGCTGGGTCCCCAGTCACCTCCCAAGCTGGATCCCAAGTCCTGCCCACTGACCCTCACGAGGCTTCTGCACTGAAGCCGGGTCGCTTACTTGAGTTCAGGGTCTTCCTTTTCTTCCTTCGTAGGGGTCACCTTGACACCACCTTTCCTGGCCCGAGGGCAGCCGGATAGGCTGAAACAGGGACCCAACAAAGAGCAAGAGAGAAGCGTGTGATCTCAAGGCATGCTGCCGCCCCGCTGATCTCCACCTCAGGGGGCAGGGGTCTGTCCTACCTGCGGTGGGAGGCATAGTTTCCGGTCACGTGCCCTGAACCGTCACAGCCTGGGGTAGGACACCTGGAAAAATGAAAGCAGAGCTGGGGCCCCATGGGCGTGGTGGGGGTGGGTCCCACCATACAGCACGGAGCCAGGTATTCAAAAGCAGGATGAGCTAATTTGGGGGGCTCTTTTTGCTTAAATATGAGTGGTTTTGGCTAAGAATCCATTTTTAAAATGGAAATGCTGATATGTAACCACTGCCCAGTGCTTGGGAGAAACTGTATCTGTTGTTATCCTGCACTCTTCTTTTTAAACCTTATTTTGCAATAACCTGAGATTTGACCCACAACTTACCACTGAGCGCCAGTCAGCATCATGCAAAGTTCTCATCTTTTGCTCAAGGCCAGTACATTTACAGGCCAGTAAATGAACTAAACTAAATTTCAGGGGCTTGGTTTTAGTTGCAGACTTTTGGTGAGAGGGTACATGGTTGGGATTTACTGAGGTGCCATCTGCCCCTAGTTAGGACCACCCTGGCCAGACATAGGTGCGGAGGTTGGGTCTACACTTACTTGAGCTCCTGAGAGTTGGCTGCCATGAGGGATTTCAGGGTCTTATCCGCCAGGGGACATCCAGAAACACTGAAGAGGGAGGAGAGAGGCAAAAACAGAGATACGCTGCCACATGTAGGCCCGACCCGGGGGCAGCCTCATCTTGTGAACAAACCCATGTTCAGCCCATGGACAGGGGTCTGGGAAAAAGAAGCAGGTCTGAACCCGGGTTTCCTGCTCTAGCTGGATCAGGCTTTGGACACCTGGACTACTTCTCGTAGAATGTGGTTTGCTGTTTATCAAGCCAGGGGCTTTACCCAGGGATATCCAGACACTAGTGATGACCGACCCAGAGAACCTTCTGTCTGAATCCTGAGGGACGGTGCTCAGGGTTAAAGCCACAGCCAGAGGGACAGCAAGCCGCACAGTGACGCAGGAGGGTGGAAGGGCCGAGCTCCCACTGTCTGCTCCGCTGTCTCTTTAATCCTGCACCAGCCGCCTGCCCCGGGGAGGAAGTCCCCACAGCGTCAAGGGTCAGCCCAGTCGCTGCTGTCCTACCTAGGTTTCATGTAAAGCTAAATGGGACCACAGCCTGAGGGGAACCCTAACTTCTGGGTTGTAGCCTGCACCACAGGATCAGGAAGTCATTTTTGATCACAAAAGTATAATTTCTTTACAACATAAGTAGAAAGACTAAAGATTTAGGTTAGCTTTATTTCTGAAAAACAAAATGAACCAAACAACCAACTAACTCAGCCTCCAATTTCTGATGGAGAATGTCTATCTAGAAGGGGTGAGGACAAGTCCTTGAAGAGGACGGGATGGTGGAGCCTGACCCAGCAGGCAGTGAGCTACCTGCGGTGAGATGCGTAGTTGCCCGTGACGTGACCACTCCCATCGCATCCTGGTGTCGGACAGCTGGGTCAATAAAAACACAGAATCAGGATTAGGTGCATTCATGGGGGCACTGGCTCTGCCTGGCTGGTCATGAATGTGGTAGCTTCTCTTTTAATATCAGTAACACATGTGAGATGTGCAGAAGCTAAAGTAACTAGAGAACTAAGGATGTAGCTATATAAGGACCCGGAGATTCGCTAAGAAGAAACTTGTATGGGCTGAGCTGCTCAGTCATGTTTGACTCTGCAACCCCATGGACTGTAGACCACCAGACTCCTCTGTCCATGGAATTCTCCAGGCAAGAATACTGGAGTGAGTTGCCATTTCCTCCTCCAGGGGATCTTCCCAACCCAGGCATCAAACCTGTGTTTCCTGCATTGGTAGGTGGGTTCTTTACCACTGAGCCACCTGGAAAGCCCAAGAAGAAACTTATGGTCCTGAATTATGAGCTTCCAGCCTTGTATCAGTTCTCTGATTCAGAATGATGCCAGAAAGTGATGCTAAAATGTGTGTTCTGGTGATGGGTGAGAGTCAACAGTCAATGCTGTTCTAGTTCTTTGAAAATAAGAGTTAAAAAATAATGATTATAAACCCATGCTTTATCATGATAGCAGCTCTTAGGAATACTGGTACCAACTACATCACAGATTTCAGAAAGTTTTGTAAATTTTTAAAGAGAAAGATAACGTTGTAGCTTCATAAACATATTAGAAATCACCTGAAAAAGATCTTTGAAAATACGACCTATGGCTGACACATAGATTGACATTTCTGATGGGAAAGCTGCTGATAGTACAGAAATAGGTAAGAAGTTTAGTTAATAAAGCTGTGATCAGTTTTATCCTAAGGTTTGAATCCACTGAATACACTCACGAATCAACAACCTAAGCAGTAGTGTCTCCCACGCACCTGCCCAGAGTCTGTCCCAGGCACTTCATTCATCTGAGAAGCTGGTCACATTCTGTGTATCTTATGTGTGGTTTAAAAATAATGAAAGAGGATAGTTATCCTGAACATGTTTACTCCCATAGTTAACAGGTATACCTTGGTTTCTCAGCCATTTATTTTTCTCTGACACTGCTAAAATGTTGCTGGGGTGAGCAGATTGACCCCCACCCACTCAGTGATCTTTATGATGGTGCCAATAATCAGAGGAAGCATCAGCTACTGATGTTCTAGGCACCCTGCCTTATGGAGAGGTTTACCCATGTGTGGAATCAGACTCTGTCCCTTTAGAGGGGTGCCTGGGGATAGTCTTATGACATTCAAGATTTCTGAAATGTCACCTTCTCAGTATATTTTTCCTGTAAGCTACTTTCCAATAGTTCTCAGGTATTCTAAAAACACTATAAAGGTAGAACACCTCCACCTCTCGGGAGAGGCCTAATTTTCAGATCTTGATCTGAGCTAAACCAGCTAGCTCTCTGCCCACCACCTTCTTAGACAGAATGATGTTCTAAGGAAAGGAAGGAAAATTCAAAACTACAAATATATGCAAACAAAAAAAGAGAACAACAATTCACATCTGAGCTGAGTTATCCCATAAGTGCCATTCGCCCGCTCAACAGAGAAACAGTCTTTTCTGATCATTATGCAGCTGGAATATTCAGAGCGTGAGGGATGGCTTATAACGGCCTGGGAATTCCCACTTTGGAAATACATCGCCACCTGGTGTGCCAAAACAGCATTGCGTTCATTTTGTTTCACTTTAAATTTTATTTCTATTTTTTAATCATCCTTATTAATACTGCCAGGAGAGGCAAAGAAGTGCCAATGATTTTTAAACCAGACAGTGATAAATTACTTAGAAAGTATAATGATAAAGCGTGCATTTAGGAAGTATAATGATAAAGCATGCGTTTAAATAGTGGCTAATTATTTTGTTTAAGCTTTGTGCTTTAAAGAGGTCAAGCAATAAAGCAAAGGCTGAAGGAGTGACATAGTAGGAAAAATTGATGCGTTGGGCTCTGATGGCTGGGTTAATTAACAGATCTTCAATGAGAAACCTTACACAGTAACATGTACCAGTTGGGTGATACGTTCTGGGAAGATTTGCAAAGGAAAGTGTCAGTTTAGAGAAAGGAAACCAGCTAGTTCCCTCAGTAAGTGGCGCTCAAAATCTAAGTGAATTTATGTTGATCCCACAGCATCGAAAAATCTGTTCTAGCCAGTTTCTAGTAAGCAATTAAGGTACATTTACCGGTTAGAAACATAAAGCATAATAAGGACTGGGTGAGTTGTTTACAGAACCCGTGTGTGGGAATGCGTGGTACCCACCCCAGTGCTCACCTGTCCTGAAACAACAGGAAAACCACAAGGCCTCTAAGGAGTTCATTTCCTAGGAATTCATGACTACATTCCGAAAATCATTCACCATATTTTCGGAGCCCTTTTTGCACCAATGAGAAGGGCCGGTGACAAAATAATCGCACTTCATTTTTCTGTCCAACATGGTGATGCAGGTTAATCATCAGTTTTTCACACTACATTTAGTTTGAAATGACTCTGGAAATTTCCAAAATCTGCCTTTAAAGGATAAACATTGGCCCTTTTTGAGGATCTTTGAGATAATATGCAGAAACAAAATCCATACAAAAATTTTAGAAACTTGACTAGCAGGCCTCGAGGACGTAAATACATGGCTGCCCAGGTCACCTCCCAGAGGGTACCGTGCTCAGTGACGCTCAGACATCAGGAAACATTATTCTTGTAAGGGAACCGGATGCTTGGGCGTTCTGCCTTTTCTGCTTTGACTTTGTTGAATTTCCTGTGGCATTTGAAACCACCAAGGGCCCAGGTGGGAATTTTCTGAGCTCTCAGCTCCCATGACCATCACTTTCCTCCTTGTCCTCAGATCTGTATTCTTTGTGGGCGTCTCTGACCCTCTCAGGTCCCAGTAGGATGCATGCTCTCGAATTCTGGGATGAGCACTCTGTCCCCTTCCTTCTATATGTCTTCCCCAGAGGCACCGTCTCCCAGGCCACATCTCACGTCTGCATCTCTAGTTAATGTTTTAGATGATCTTTCTGAGCCCAGACGGTCCCCCATGTGCATACGACCTCAGAAGAACTCGGCACACTGCTCTTTCCCAAATAGCCCAGCACGAGCTCATGTTTCTGCTCAAATATCCTATGGTCTGTTCATGGAAAACTTGCAACCAGGCCATCTTCTCAGGGCCCTTGTCCTGCCCCCGCCTCCTGACTCTGTCTCTGTCTCTCTCCAGGCCTCCTGGTGCTGGGGCTCGGTGTAGGGCCTTCTGGTCCAAGAAACCCTTCCTGATGGAGAACCCACTGCAGCTTACCTGCCTGGGTCTTTCAACTGTCCTGAGTCACAGAACTCCTTGAGAAGGTAACAAAACCCATGAACACCCTTCCCAAATAACATTCTGCAGGAAGTTTTAAAAGTTTCTGGGCTTCCCTGGTGGCTCAGATGGTAAAGAATCTGCCTGCAATGCGGAGAACCTAGGTTTGATCCCTAAGTTGGGAAGATCCCCTGAAGACAGGAATGGTAACCCACTCCAGTATCCTGGCCTGGAGAATTCCATGGACAGAGGAGCCTGGCAGGCTACAGTCCTTGGGGTCACAAAATGTCAGACACAGCTGAGTGATTAACACTCATGCAGACTATCTCTAGCCCTAACTTGGCTCCTCTGAGGTCAGGGAATGTCAGATTAAGATCTCTGATCAGAACATAAACATTTCTAATTGTTTTGCATATTTTGTTTTTCAGTTTGACTTTTAATTCCCTTAGCACAAGATCAAGGCATGCACCTTTTTCCATAATCTTCTTAGTTCTGAGTAGAGGTCTAGATACACACAGAATATTTAATTATCGGTCAGTCGAAATTGCCCTAAAACAGTGCCAAGTCAGCTCCATAAGCCAAGGTGTTATTACTTAAGGCTTCGATCAGTAGTCTCCATTCTAGAACCACAGGTCACTCACGTGATGAGTTCTTTCTTGAGATCTCTGGTGTGGAGCTTGGGTTTAGGGCTTGGTATAGAGGCCTCTCCGGAGAACTTCTTTTCCTCTAAATTTTCTAGAGAGCTCACTGGGTCTTTCTGGAAATAAAAAATACAGAAGCACACAAGGTATTAGGAAACTCTGGAAAAACAATTGTATTTGAAGTCATCGGGGTCAAACCTGAGTTTTGGCTTAAAGACTTAGATGACATCCCTCACTGGATTTGTACACAAAATAAATAAGATAATAAGGGTACACCCGGACTGCCATGGACCTTTATCCTTGGTAAAGAGTGAGAAATTATAACTCACAGGCACAATTTTTAAAAGTTCACATGTTGGCAGATAAAACTACAGAGGAATTTCTTGAGCCATGTAAATAAGTTAATATCTTAATATTTTAACTTCAATATATTTCAAGCTTTACAGTATAATAAACATTTCCTAGAGAACATGGAAATAGTTCTTTATGTACATAGCGTGCAAGTATGCTAAGTCACTTCAGTCATGTCTGACTCTTGGTGACCCCACATACTGTAGCCCACCAGGTTCCTCTGTCCTTGGGATTCTCCAAGCAAGAACACTGGAGTGGGTTGCCATGTACTCAGTAGTCACTGGTAAAACAAAAGTAATTCTGCAAAAAATGAATCACACAAATTTTTAAATAGAGAATGAAGAAGTAAATTTAGCTTATTAGGATGTCCTTCCTGATATGCAGATAAGATTTAAACTATTTGCTTAAATGCACAGTGGCTGAGTCCACAATGTCTCGGCAGCTTTTAGCTTGATTTTTCTGGACACCTGTTTTTAGTCTCACATCAGTCACTTCCTGTTTTCCTTAAACTACCTCTTTTGCTAAGTTGGTTTTTTTCTCATGTTTTTACTCTCTGGGTGGACTGTCTTGTTGGATTAACATTAATTTTCATGGTCTCCTTTTAAGCTTAGTACTGATCCTGATTTCATAAGGAAATCTCATTGATCCTTTCACATCACTTATTTACCATCTGATATATTATTGTCAGACAACTAATGATGGTTTCAATCAAACACATAATTAGTTTACTTTTATCATTAAGCTTATATTGAGTAAATGTAATACTTTCTGGATTTAATATTAAAATCAGGTTAACTACTATTTTTTAAAAAAACTGTCTCCTAAATCTCAAAAGTATTGATCCATTTAAGATGAGAAAACAATTTGAGTTACTGAAGGCAAATCTCATTTAAATCACATGGACATGACATTGCAAGTATAAATACGATTTTAATCATTCTGAGTTGACACTCAAAATCAATGGAAAAAGAAAATCCGTGGATTTTCCCAACCTAAGAAAAATTCTAAGCCTTGATCTCAGTTATAAAGACAAATGTAATTTACTTCATTAATTACTTGGATAACAGTTCAATCGATTATTTTACACAAGACCACACAGTGGTGAAAAAATGTGTGAATGACCTCAAAGGAACAGGATCTTCAGAGCAAATTAGTAAAACCTGGTTTGGTCTAATTTCTTTTTTCATATTATTTTTAATACTGAGTATTCCATTTTAAATTATTGATAAATGTTTGAAACTAGTAGCAGAAAAATCATACACCACTAAAAAACAAAGAGAAATGGGTGCTTGATGATCAGTGTCTATTAAGGTATAAGAAGAAGGGTTATTTTAATGCTGCTTCTGTGAAATCTATAGAAAACAAGTGAATGATGCTTATCCTTTTCACATTTCACAATGTAACTAGAGCAAAGCAATTCCTAATTATAAGACCTTAAACTGGATACACTATTTTTTAAAAAATAATGTTTGTTATTTATTTGCTGTGCTGGGTCTTCATTACTGCCTAGGCTTTTCTCTTGCTGTGATGAGCAGGGGCTCCTCTCTAGTTGTGGTACATGCACTTTTCATTGCAGTGACTTCTCTCGTGGAGAGAAACTCGTGGAGCACAGGCTCTAGGCGCACAGATGCTTCAGCAGTTGCAGCTCCTGGGCTCCAGAGCACAGGCTCAGGAGCTGTGTCGCATGAGCTTAGTTGTTCCGAGATACATGGGATCATCCTGGACCAGGGATCGAATCCATATCTCCTGCATTGGCAGGTGGATTCTTTACCACTGAGCCACTAAGGAAGCCCCCAGATACACTATTATCCATTTCATTTGGAGGTGCCTGGATTCAGCATGGGTAGTGTTTTCCATTATAATTCACAAAACGTCTGGGCCTTTTGAAAGTGGATACACATGTATATCCAATGACCTCTTCTGCTAAGTTGATATTTTGTAATGCTTTTACTCACTGGATGGAATTGCTATTAACTGATCCAAAAGCAATGTTGGATCATTACTAATTTTCATGGCCTTCTTTTCAGTTTAGTACTGATCCTGACTTCACAAGGAAGACAAAGAACAGACTTTGTTTTCCTCTTCAGATGCTAGATTTTTCATAAAAATGGCATAAAGCAGAAAAGAGCTATTTTATTATTTTCTTTGTGATAGAAATGAGCAAAGTATCTCTGAGAAGGCATATACATTTACAGATGAACATATAAAGGTTATCAGCTGTTGTTTGTTGAATCTGCACATTATAGAAGACAAGGGAATAAGATTTTGAAAGAAATAATCAGCTATGAAAGCTTAACTTACTTGACTCAAATACATTCAAAATTAATTCTAGCAGAATATATGGTATTTAACTTAGCACAGTAAAATGTAGTGCTGTTTCAACAGAATAATTTTATTGGATATGACCTTTGAAATATTTTGCAACTTCCTTAAAAAATTATGGACTTGGGTATGCAATCGCATCATGAAATAATTGTCTCTCCCTTCCTCCTTTTTTTTTTCCCTTTGGCTCAGCATTCTACCTCGAGAAACTTGCAGAGAGCATATGTATTAAAATACAGGTGACCCTCATTATAAGAATGTTTAATTTTGTTACAGAAGCATTGTATATCATATAAACTCCTAAATTGCATACCATAAAAAATATGTCAACATCATTTGTCAGATTTTTTTTCAAAATTTATAGTATCCTTTTGAAAATAATAATTTATATTGGAAATACATACGAGAAAATGTGGCATACATATATGTGTGTGTTTAGAGAGTGCATGGGTGCGATGAAATTCCTTTAATGTACAAATAAGAGTTTATATTGATTTTAGTAAAACCCAGAACATAATGAGAGCATGAATAACAGATAATAGCATCTGGCACTTTTAACATCTGAAGTCTTTGGAGAACTGACAGTTGAACAAAACTGACAGCTCTAGTTATTTCTCAGCACTTTCCTTTCGAGATAGTTTGAGTTTTTTCCAGATTCAGGATTTTTTTTTTAGGGGGCATCTGGACAGGCTATTTCACTGAGAGAGACAGACAATATTTTCTGAAAATTACCACCAAAATTAAGCAACTGTTGTGCATATGAACAAGATAACAATGAATTAGAAATAATCGCCCAGTTTCTGGTCATGGGTACAGGCATGAGTGTCGTGTGGGGTGGGGGGTGTGTGGGGTGTAAGGGGTGTGTGGGGTGAGGGTGTGTGAAGTGTATGAGGTGTGGGGTGTGGGGAGTGTGTGGAGTGTGTGGGATGTGGGGTGTAAGGGGTGTGTGGGCTGTGGGGAGTGTGGGGTGTGTGGGGTGTGTGAGAGTGTATGGAGTGTGTGGGGTGTAGGGATGTGTGGGGTGTGAGGGGCTATGTGGGGTATGGGACTATGTGGGTGTGGGGTGTGAGGTTGTGTGAGGGGGTGTGGAGTGTATGGGGTGTGGTTATAGGGGTGTGTGGAGTGTATGGGGTGTGGGGTGTAGGGGTGTGAGGGGGTATGGGGCTGTGTGGGTGTGGGGTGTTAGGGTGTATGAGGATGTGTGGAGTGTGTGTGGAGTGTATGGGGTATGGGGTGTAGGGGTGTGTGGGGGTATGTGGGGTATGGGGCTGAGTGGGTGTGGGGTGTGAGGGTGTGTGAGGGTGTGTGGAGTGTGTGTGGAGTGTATGGGGTGTGGGGTGTAGGGGTGTGTGGGGGTATGTGGGGTATGGGGCTGAGTGGGTGTGGGGTGTTAGGGTGTGTGAGGATGTGTGGAGTGTGTGTGGAGTGTATGGGGTGTGGGGTGTAGGGGTGTGTGGGGGTATGTGGGGTATGGGGCTGAGTGGGTGTGGGGTGTGAGGGTGTGTGAGGGTGTGTGGAGTGTGTGTGGAGTGTATGGGGTGTGGGGTGTAGGGGTGTGTGGGGGTATGTGGGGTATGGGGCTGAGTGGGTGTGGGGTGTGAGGGTGTGTGAGGGTGTGTGGAATGTGTGTGGAATGTATGGGGTGTGGGGTGTGGTTATAGGGGTGTGTGGAGTGTATGGGGTGTGGGGTGTAGGGGTGTGTGGGGTGTGAGGGGGTATGGGACTATGTGGGTGTGTGGAGTGTGTGGGATGTGGGTGTGTGGAGTGTATGTGGAGTGTGTGGGGTGTAGGGGTGTGTGGGAGTATGTGGGGTATGGGGCTGAGTGGGTGTGGGGGATGGGTGTATGGAGGGTGTGTGGAGTGTATGGGGTGTGGGGTGTAGGGGTGTGTGGAATGTGAGGGGCTATGTGGGGTATGGGGCTGAGTGGGTGTGGGGTGTGAGGGTGTGTGGAGTGTGTGGATGTGGGTGTGTGGGTTGTAGGGGTGTGGGGATTGAGAGCAGCCCAGGTTCCCAGTGCACCCTGGGACCCTGAGCAGCACCTTGGCAGAGCTCCGGGGGACCACAGCCAGGACCATCCATCCCTGGTGTGCGTGGTCACTGGCCATGTTCTGCACCTGGGCTCAGAACTCTGGTCCTGCCGGCCTGAGAAGCACCAGAACCACTGTGGCCTCTGCCACACACCCGGCCGGGCACTATCTCATCATTATTCTCTTTTTTCTTTCCTTCCTGCTTTTTTCTCAACATTTTCCAATTTTTGTGTGTATTATTTTCTTCTCCTTTTCTCCATTTACTTCCTTTTCTTCATTTCAGGGAATGCCAGGCCCATTACTTAATTTCTATATGACCAAAGAACAGCAAGTTCACTCCATCTGGCTTCAATTTCCTTCTCTAGAAACTTCGGTAATAATCCTGCTCTTCAGATTAGTCAGGAGAATGAGACACTGTACAGAAACAGCCATAATCCTCATTCTGACTCAGTGTGGCCACCCTCTGCTACCTTCACCACGAGGACACTGAATACCATCGACTTCTACAAAATAATAACTATAGAGCATCGCATTGCTCATTCTGGGATTCAGGACAGAATGTGAAAAATACTCTCTGTTCATAAAGCACCTTGGCACGGACGCAGGAACAAAGGGCCGGGGTAAGGAACCACCCCGGGGCTTACAGGGATTCAGAAGCACTTTTGTGTGTGTCCCGCAGGGACAACTCAGTGCCCAACAGTGAACCACCCACGCTCAGACCCTGACAATAGGCACTGAGCTTAAAAACTACCTTGTCAACTCAAACCTAGCGCAAGCTCTAGGACTCCAGGAACTCAGCATCTCCAAAGCCATCTTTATTCTTGTTGTAACATCGAACTTCCAGTAGCTTGTCAATCCCAGATGTCAGATGTGTGCTGTGTGCGAAGTCCCTTCAGTCATGTCTGACTCTTTGCAACCCCAGAGACTGTAGCTGGCCAGGTTCCTCTGTCCATGGGATTCTCCAGGCAAGAATACTGGAGTGGGTTGCCATTTCCTTCTCCACGGGATCACCCCAACCCAGGGATTGCACCCATGTCTCTTATGTCTCCTGCATTGGCAGGTGGGTTCTTTGCCACTAGCTCTACCTGGGAAGCCCAGATGTCAGATACTTAGGTTGCAAATTGTAGCAGTGAGTCTGCACTTGCAGACCTGAAGGAAGTAAGCCACTCTGAAAAGAGCAGACGTCTAATCGAAATGATCCATCTTCCCCATGACTGTGCTGGGACATCAGCTCCATCAGCATTAGATAGGAACAGACCCCAGCTGAATCCACAAAGCTGCCCAGATGACTCCTCACATGTTTCTAAAGAGAGAATATTTGTCATGAGACTTCACTTTCTGCTGAGTGATAAGACGTATACACAGCCAGGGAGGTCCCCAAGGTACCTACTTGACCCTCAAGTGGCAGGAGTGCCCCCAGAATATAAGGGGTACCCTGCAGACATTGCTACAGAAATTATGGTGGTGGTTTACAGCTAAGTCATGTCCAACTCTTGAAACCCCATGGGCTGTAGCCTGCCAGGCTCCTCTTTGTCCATTTCCAGGGATTTTCCAGGCACGAATACTGGAGAGGGTCACCATTTCCTCCTCCAGGGGATCTTCCTGACCCAGGGATCAAACCTGCATCTCTTGCATTGGCAGGCAGATTCTTTGCCACTGAGCCATCAGAACCTATGTCAAATGACATAAAGACCCTGAAAGGGAGCAAGAACCCCCTTTGCTTTGTTACTGATGGGGACTGGACTGGACGTCTGACTATGTGCAAGCAGAAAGGAGACTTGTGGTGAACACTGACCATGGCCAGTATACAGTGGGGTTGCAAGGGTGAGGAAGAGAAGGTCCAAGCTCCCAGCACATGGCACCAAGCCTCTCCAATGTGGGGGGTTTCACCCCAGTGGACTCGCTCAGGAACAGGGATGCACTAACGGTCACTCTGTAAGGGACCGTCCTCCGTGCCACACATTTTTGACTGGACCCCACCTCCAGGTCTCATACCTGGGATTAGCTGCCCTCCATTGGGAGTGGTTTAGGCAAGGGACTGGTTGGCAATAGGGGGTCTCCTGGACTGGGGGTGTCCCTGACTCAGGAGAATCACCATCCTTGCTCTCATCCGGTCTATGCTTCCAGAGGATCCACTCCCACCACCTCACCTCCACCTCGGACCCCAGTGTGGAATGATGGCAAATGTGAATGTAGACACATTTCTGGGTTATACAGCAATGACATAAACGAGGTGTAACTTTGGGGACTTTGCACGAGCTGGACCGATCAGGGAATGCGGAGGAGGACAGAGACACATGTTCACCAATTCTCAATCACCACCTGAGGCAAACCAGCTTCTTACAGTTTACAGGGTCTGTTTTATATTAAAGTTGAATGTGTATGATTTAAAAAAGTTTTTCTAAAGTAGTGTTATGATAGATTAGGTCTAACTATCCCTAAATTCTTGGGTTAACTTTTAAAAGCCAAGCAGAAGAACAGTGACTAAGCCCCGCATGGCAGAATCTAACCAGAAGCTGCTACAGTGGGAGACTCCTGCCCTCCTGGGAAGGTGTGGCTGGTGGTGACGGAGACGCAGACCTGCCTCGGGTCCTGGAGGCTCCTCCAGCCCCCACCCCCAGCTACTCTGCACGCCTGCTCAGCTGCTCACTCATCCAGGAGCTTGGCTACAGGTTGGTCCTCCTACCAGACAGGTGTCCTACATCCTCAGGGCCAGTCTTACTGGACATGGGGATGCCAGTGAAAGTGCAGGAGGGGTAGGGAGGAGGGAAGGACAGAAGGGGAACAGAAAAATACCCCAATCTTGTGATTACTGCCATTGACAGTGACTCATGCCCAGAGATGTTAAGGAAGATGCTAAAGTCACACAGGGAACTATACTCAGTATTATGTAATAATCTGTAAGGGAAAAGAATCTGAAAAAGAATACACACACACACACACACACACACACACACATATATATGTAGAGTGAGTAGTGTTAGTCGCTCAGTAGTGTCAGACTCTTTGTGACCCCATGGACTGTAATCCTCCAGGCTCCTCTCTCCATGGGATTTCCCAAGCAAGAACACTGGAGTGAGTTGCCATTTCCTCCTCCAGGGGATCTTCCCAACCCAGGGATCCCTGGTCTCCTGCATTGCAGGTAAATTCTTTACCATTTGAGCCCAAATTCTTTACCATTTGAGCCACCAGGGAAGCCCACATATATGTACATGTATATGTATATGTATATGTATCTGAAGCACTGTGTTGTACTCTTGAAACTTACATGATATTGCAAACCAACTATACTTCAATAAAAGATAAAGTGTATGCTAAAATCAAATTAGCCTCCCTCAAAGTCTCTGAGCTTCAAAAATCTGAAAAAGGGGGATGATGCTTACTTACAAATGCCTACTTCAGTTCTTCAAATGTGTCAGCTGGCAAGCACCAAGCACTTCCCTAGGACAGACAGAATCACTTGCAGGAAGGCTGGGGTCAATGTGCAGTGACCCAGAGTCTAACCAGTGGAGGGTGTGGCCATGAACTCTTTGGAATGACACTGAGTCAGGGCTCATCAGACCCACCTGGGGGCTGCAGCCACGAGAGGAAGCTGATGGCTTCCTACACAACATCTGGCTTCTGGGTGATGCCACCTCCAGGGATAACCCAGCCCGTTGCCATGGCTGGGACATTTGACAGCCAGGATCAGTCCCTGGACTACAGCTCTGCACGTAGGGATGCCCATACCACCCCTCCATGAAACCACAGAAGGGAATTTGACAAGAAGCATCCTTGTACCAGATTTCCTCTTGTGTTCCAGCCTCTGGTGCAGAGATGTGTGGGCTCATGGCTCACAGGCTGCTGCGTCCCCAGGATAGATGACACCAGCTCTTAGCTCACACAACCCAACCCTTAACAGTGATATGACAGGCTCTAATGACATCTCGTTTTACGCAAGGGGTGGGAAATGTTGAATTCATTTGTAAATACCTCCTGAAATTTAAAATCATCGCTTTACCAAAAATCGAAAACCAGCTACAGAATTATGTATTATCTAAATAGGATGGTGAGAAATGGTGCAGGAGGAATAAGTGGACCCCACTGTCACGTTCTGTCTCCAACTTATTGATCGACACTGGAACAGTACCTCTTTCTCCTCCTCCGTCTTCCCGTGGGCTTTGCTATAGTTGATGGGCGCGTCCCAGCCCTCGTGGTCACACAGGGCCTGGTAGAAGGCGGCATTGACCAGAAGGCTGCTGGTTTTGAACGGGGAAGAGGAAGCGGTTGGAACAGAAGGGTTAGTGGAAGTTAGGGGTGCGGCTTTGTCCAGGATGCGAGCTTTTTTCATGCTTAAGTCCAATGTGCCATTCTCATCCACTTCTATCTCGGCCCCCTATATATAACAGGAAACAAAAAAACCATGTAAGCAGTTTGCAGTGGTAGCCTGGCCATGTGGGGCTTTTAAGGGATCATTTTAAATGCAAGCTTTTATGGAAGTATATCTGATTTTAAATCTCGCTTTCTGATTTGCTTTGGTTAATGTTCAATTCTTAGGCAGACTTTTCAGAGCAGCCCCATTAGGGAGTTTTGTGTTTCTGGGTTTAAGCAATGTAAGCCTAAATATAAGTAAGATGGTCCAAATACTAAATGTACTGGCTAAACCTATTTTATCTTTTTTTTTTTAAGTTTAGCTTTAAATCTTCCTTTCTAGTTTGCAGAATTATCACTCCCAATTCATCCTTTAAAGCATTAACACTGGAGTTAATAAAGAGACACACTATCCTCCTCCCAACATGAAAAACATGCAAAAAACAACCAGCTGGGAGAGAATTTTTATTGGGAAATATTAGAACCATATTAGATTACTGTGACAGTGACATTTTATCCTGGGTGACTTGAACCAGAAAAGCTTGGTTAACTCGTGGGGGGCGGGTTGGGGGGAGGTGGGCAGTGCACGCCTAGTTTCCCCCTCGGGGCCATGAGGTGGCAGCTGGCAGCATGACCAGGATGGGGGTAGGAGGTTAAGTTCTATGTTGAAAACTCCAGAATAAAGGTGATTATTTTCCAGATACTCAGTATGAGACTTTAATTCTGCCTCACGACATTTCTCCTCGGGAGACCTTGGCTAAGCTTCGTTTTGTTTTTAAGGCTCAAGTGCCAACAAGGTCCCCATGCATCCTGGCCCTTCCACAAGTCATGTGCCCGAGGATGGTGTGCGCGGTCCTGAACCACGAACGCTGCCAGACAGTAGCTCCCAGGGTGCTCGGAGAGTGAGCTTGTTACCCTCATAAGTGGGTCAAAGGAATACCTTCCTGGTGTTCTCACTGCCATCCGTCAATTCACAGTTAACTTCTAGACAATGTCTCTCCTCTGTTCCTTTTGGCTGGAAAAGCAGGAGACTTCCCTGAATATGTTCCTAAGATCCCTAACAGTTACTTCGCAGGGGTTCATTTTAACCTCCCAGTTACACTCTGCCCTTACCCCTTCCCCAACATTCCCACTGAGATGAGACCCTCTGTACTGTTGCTGAATTAAAAAATAAAAGCATCTCTTCTGTCTGCTTGTTTTACCTGCAAAGTTTTTGTTCTCAGTCTCTCAAGTAAAGATGCTTTACGATATCTGTGGGAGGTAAATACACTTCTAATGTATTTGTACTAAGATGCTTTCGTCCTATGTTTCTGTCCTTTTTAGTAAATAGTTTAATCTCCTGTGATAGTTTTAAGCCCTGAATTTCACAGTAGAGCTTATCCAGGATAATAACTTAGTAACCACCACATCTTATGCCATCTGTATAATATCAAATACATTTTTATACCAGCATTAATAAACCTTAGTTACAAAAATCCAAGATATTAACCATATCTGTGCTGCACACTCTCTCCATGATACAATGCAGTCTGCCACAAGCACATCAAAACAACTTTTGGCTTCAACGCTGATATGTAACTATAGCAATGAAACAGAGCTATAGCAATCAAGTTTAATGGCCAATGTAAAGTAAAATGCTAAATATTGTAGTTGCTGACATTTTTTTCATAAAAAAATAAAAAACTTGGGTTAAGACTGCACAACCAACATTCACATAAAATTCCAGACCTCTGTGACAGATGGCTTAGGAAAAAGGAGCCACGTGACTGGGCTGCAGCGTTTTATAGTGCAAAACCCATAAATAGTGCAGATTCGAGCTTGCTGAAAAAAAAAAAAAAACCAACTATTCCAAGACAACACCAATATATATTTTAGTTTTTACAGGGAAAAAAAAAAAAAACTTCCAATGAGTAAATGAGAAAAAAAAAACAGAGATTCTCAGAGTTGTGGTGGTTATACATCTTGAGTAATCATGGGCTGATTGAAAAAAAAAATCATTCCTAATGTTTGAACGAGGTGGTTTTCTGTGCCCCGTGCCCCAGCCGGCTGCTCTGAGCACCTGACTGTGCTGGGGAAGGGGAAGGGGGGTAGCAGGCGGCCATGCGGGTACAGATGGGCTTTAAGTGAGCTCACAGATGCACTCGACAATTACACACAGCACCAGAGAAGGGCCCCTTTCTGCCCATGGATGGGTGGATCACACGTTTACTGCATGGATTTCATTCAGAGCAGTATCAATAGACATCATTTCTCTCTGTGCCTGAAACTCCACATGGCAAGGCAATGAGGAGGGGGGTGGTGGGAGAGGCCATCGGAGGGGAGAGGCCAGCCCTACCCAGACAGGGACCCCCAGCCCGACTCCTAAGATGCTCATTTCTCAAAGGGCTGTTTAGATCTTATTTTAATCGTTTGAATTTTAAGCTTTTTGAGCTTGGTCTAACACTGCTCATATACTCTCCAACTTGGGAGCAACATCAGTGACCATGTAATTCATCCACTTCTGAGTTAGAGATATTCCCTGTGATGTGTTGATTTTCAAAAGGATGGAGAAAGCACATAACATTTTCAAGCCACTGTATTTAGGGCAAAAGAAAATGGAAAAATCTAGTGCCGCTGCCTTCAAGAAGCTTATTTGATGCATATAGGATGTTTTCAGTGAAAAAGACTACAAATTATTATTTTAGTTTATATAATTTATGTATAAATTATATAATTATAAATTATTATTCAGCTGAAAGTTGAGGTGATTATCTATTATAAGCCTTATCTGTACTATAAAATCAGTAGTGACTCAGATGTCTGCCAACAGAGGGACGATATTACACTGCACCTATTAACTGGCACATTATGTGATCAGTAAAATGATAATTTCAATTCTTTGTCTCAACAGGGAAAAGACTTATGTCACTGAAAGCAGGAGACAACCTAGAATTCTGGTTACACTTACAACTAGGGAAAATGGGAAGAAAATCATTTTCTGAAGAAGAACAAAAGGGAAAACACAGAAACTCTTGTGAGCATAGACTAAGGGCTCTTTTCCTTGAATATTTCCCAGGAAAATGATAATATTATATTGTTTCAATAATTAAAAAATCATCTTACATTCAAAGATGGTGACAAAGTAAATAAAAAACAAAACTGCCATTTTACTTTAAATGTTCTGATTATGAAAAGCATTAACTCCCAAGGCATCGATACAATGAGATAGCCTTGTTTTCCTTATTTGGCATATTTTCCGTTGTTAATAAGGAGAGGTTGAACCACCTCCTTGTTTTGTGACAGGACTAAGACAAGGGCAAGGGGAGGGGGTCTGCAGATGGGTTTCTGCTCCATCTTTCCACTAAGGCTCTTCTGTTCTTGATTCAGGGGATTTGTCTGGGGAAACATCTTCTTCATATTGAAAGTCCTCTGAAACATGTTTTCACAGTAGGCAGGGTATTGAATACAGTTCACTGTACTATACAGAAAGTCCTTGTTAACAATACCCTGCCTACTTTGAAAACATGTTTCAGAGGACAAGAGTGTGTATGTTAACCCCAAGTTATTTATAGCACAAGGCACTCTACTCAATAATCTGTAATAATCTATATGGGAAAAGAACCTGAAAAAGAATGGATATATGTGCACGTACAATTGGATCACTTTGCTGTATACCATAAACTAATACAACACTGCAAATCAGCTATAATATAAAATAAAAATAAATTAAAAATCTAATTAATATAAAAAAATAAAATCTTCTTGCCTATCCTCAAAAAAAGGTAGGCGAGGTACTAACAATAAACAAATGGGGACTTCCCTGGTGGTCCAGTGGTTAAGACTCTGTGCTTCTTCTACAGGGGGTATGGGTTTGATCCCTGGTCGGCGAACTAAGATCACACATACCCCCCAAAATTAAATGAATAAATGAACAAAATAAATGAACTGAAAATATCTTATTCTTACTAAATAGCAATTGAACATTAATATTAATACTATTAAGAGTATGACTTGTGAGATATACTAATAGAAATCCTGTGATGAAATTCAGAAGAGAAGTAAGTGACTGACAGAAGGTATAAAATTAAAGTGTTGTTGTGTTAGTCGCTCAGTCATGTCTGAATCTCTATAACCTCATGGACTATAGCTCACCAGGTGCCTCTGCCCATGGAATTGTTCAGGCAAGAGCACTGGAGTGGGTTGCCATTCCTCTCTGCAGGGGATCTTCCCAACCCAGGGATTGAACCCAGGTCTCCTGCATTGCAGGTAGATCCTTTACTACCTGAGCCACCAGGGAAGCTAAGTTTAAAATCTTTTCTGCTAAATCTTTGTCTGACACTTGAAGTCATAGTGAAAACTCTTGGTAGACCAGTAGTTTGTATACCAGGGAATGATAAATTCATCAAGGAGATCAAAAGTTAGGCATGAATTCAAGTTTTATCTCTAATAGTCGTAGCTGTGCCACTTAGGGGCAATTATTTAATATCTCTGCACTACTTTCTTCACTTGCAAAATGAAATGTCATTCAAGTATACTTGGACTTCCCTGGTGGCTCAGATGGTAAAGAATCCGCCTGCAATGCAAGAGACCTGGGTTCAATCCCTGGGTTGGGAAGATCCCTTGGAGAAAGGCATGGCAACTCACTCCAGTATTCTTGCCTGGAGAATCCCATGGACAGAGGAGCCTGGCAGGCTACAATCTATGGGGTTGCACAGAGTCAGACATGACTGAGTGACTAAGCACACAGCACATTATGGGCAGAGGGCTCATTTACAGTGCATGGCACATAGTAGGCATTCAGTAAACAACACAACTGCTAATAATCATAATTTGATTGGGTTTTTGGACTCTAAGAGACCTCCCTATGCTGTTCTACATGGAAGCAAAGAGGTGGTTTCCCCACACACGTCACCGGTTCCCTGAGATCTGACTACAGCCCCTCAGAGCAGCTCACTCACATTGTGCAGCAGCATCTGACTTCACATTAAAGTTACTGGAAAAGGCTGATTTTGGATTCTAACCACCCCCAGAGCCACCAGGCTATTTCTGAGAGAAGGCAGCAGGAGTGGCGATGTGATAGCGTGTTGTTTCTCGGCCTTATTCAAGCACAAAACAGACTTTGAACTTTAAACACTTCAAGCAAGTGTCAATTTTTTGTTTTCTTTTAAGGCACACTGTGCATATGCCACTTTGTCTAAACAGGTGGGGAAAACACCAAAACAAACAACAGAACACTTGGCAAGCGGCAGCGATTGGGATAAAGATAGACTGTGTGCCTGTTCCTACCTCTGCTGACGAGGGAGGAGGAGGAGGAAGGTGGGGAGGAAGGAGGATGGAGCGGACTCTGCAAACCCCCACTGCTCACTCCTCCTGCTGCCTGGTTCTCCCCAGTCCTGTGCTCATCTCAGGAGCACCATCTCCAGACTCAAGGGGGAATGTCTGAAGCTGTGGTCCATCTATGTTTTGCAAACTCACAAGAATTCCACATGGAACTGAAGAACAGGCTGCAAATCTCAGGACCAAGGACAGTTCTAGTATCACACTGTGGCTCATTTCTTCAAACAAAAGTGTCCGTAACCACAATGATCTCCACTCAGTACTGCTATTACTAATTTTTCTCTGACTTGATTTCTCAAAGAGATACTTAAAACACCCACAGGTGATTTAGGCAGTGTGGACATGCTGTGTAAGTGTTGGATTGAATTTTAACAGAAGCAATTCTTTCTAAGATCTACTTTTAGGATGCAGTGGATGTGAGCTTGGGCAGCGACTGACAGCGTTTGCCCTGGCACCTCCACCCAGGGCTGCGCGGGTGTGAAGGGGGTGGGTGTGAAGGAGGCGTGTGGGGTAGGAAGACAGTCAGGCTGAGAAACTCGGGAAGGAGAACACTTCAGAATATTCATAACGTTCTTCATTGTTTTTGGGAGAGGTTCTCTTGCCTCCCTGAGGTTTGCCTCTGCCCTCTTATCTTCCATAAGAGTAGGGATTTTGCATATCATGAATTCAGTTATCCTGCCAAACTTGAGGTGAGTTATGACTTTGCACATAGCTTGAAAGAATTTGTATTATCCCTGATGAGTGGGTATGAAGGCAGTCTCAAGGTCAGGGTCCTTTGGCTTGATTTTAACAACGTCATGCCCACATGCAAGATTCATAACTTGTTCTCCTCTTGGGCTCTTTAAACAACTTCTGAGAAGCTCACTGGGGGAAGGAAAGGACCAGATGGAGGCACAAGAAAATAAACCCTTTGTCAAAGTTCTGGTCAAATTCCCTACAGGGTCACCCACACCTCCCCTGGACCTCAGGAAAGGCCCTCTGAAGATCTTGCTCTCCACCTCTGGTGACCACTTTTTTCATCCTTCTCTGACTGTAAGCTCCTCGAAGGCAGGGTATCTGAGGGACGCTGCTCCGTTGGGCAGCCCAGCACCTACAGACTTTCCAGCTGGGGCAGCTGGATCCTCCTGCCAGATTCTCTCTAGTCCATCAACAGTGCTTCTATGCTCAGCTCTAGAAGTCGAGAATGGGGAAAAGCCATGTATTTCTATATCCTTCTTTCTGAACTAGGAACTCAAGAGGTCTCTGGATTCTGATCAGCGAAAACAAACGCACCAGACACCCACCGTGGAGGAAGTCCCGCATCCTGGTGGAGAGAGAACCAGGCTAGTGTTCAGTGCAGAGCGAGACTGTTTACACTTAATCCCACATGAAACAAAGGGCACGGAGCAGAGGGCGTTGCGGACAACAGAAACGGCCAGCCCAGGGCACTGCTGGATCAGAGCCCGTATTTCAGGGTTAATTACTTTGGCTTTCTCTCTCTCTCTTTTTTTTTGCTACAATAATTACTTTTTGTGGTTTCAGGAATGTATGAGGTTCTCTTTTAAGGTCAGAAAATAGAATCCAACCAGGAGAGAATTCTGCAAATCATTACAGTGGTGTACAAATGCAGGCCTGGAGGAGGGTGACACAAGGTGACAGTGTAGGGGCCACTCTGATCCTGTTTATCACCCACAAAGTCCAACGAGACAATGTTCATGGGAAAAAGGTTTTGAAAACGGCCAGCATCACAGATGCTCTAAAAACCGACTGCCGCACTTTCTGCCCCTTCCACTCTTACGGTCTCATCCGTGGTTGGGCTCCTGCAGTTAAGCTGTGGTTGACAGTTTTGGGGCTCGGACATTTTGGGGGTTCCTGTCATCTTTGTTGGATTCACTGCTTGGCTTCAGTGATTGACAGAATGTGGAGAATACAAAGGTAAAAGGCAGAAATTTGAAGGAACCAAGCGGTATCTATCCATATAGAGGGAAAGTCTTCACCCTACAACCATTCACTCAAGCAAATTTAAGTAGCGATAGCCATTATAATGCTGGCGCTTTGCTTATGTGTGCGTGTGTGCTCAGTTGGTGCAATCATGTCTGACTCTTTAAGACCCCATGGAATGTAGCCCACCAGGCTCTTCTGTCCATGTAATTCTACAGGCAAGAATACTGGAGTGGGCTGCTATGCCCTCCTCCAGGATATCTTCCTGACCTAGGGATCAAACCCACGTCTCATGCATTACAGGTGGATTTTTAACCAGTGAGTCACCAGGGAAGCCCCTTTATTCTTACAGGACAGCCTAAACTGACAATAAAGCAAGTAGGAAAGAAGACAGTTTAGTATCACTCCAATGAGCTTCACATTAGAATATCCCTTTAAAAAGGAGAAAAGTATTCAGGTTTTTAAAAATGAATTTAAGAATAACCAAAGTTACATTCTAAAGGGCTCAAAATCATTCATTTATGTAAATAATCTCTGACTGTGATTTCTGGGGACATTGGAGTTTTCTTTATATTTTTGAGGCAATGTGTTTTCCTTTGTTTAAGGAACTCATTTGTTTAAAACGGTTTTTGAGTGGTTTTTGGCCACCAACTCTTCCTGGGGTTTACTTGGCTCAGACCTGTCCAGAAGCTAATTCTGATTCTTCTGTCAACTGCGCCATGCCACTGTGCGCCCTGCTCTCCTGAAGGCCTGGCACGCGCACAGGTGAGCAGCTGACTGCACCGGGACAGGCTGAACTTAAAGGGAAAGGGGAGTGAATGCCTGTGCTCACTGAGTTTGGGTTAGAGTTTAACCGGGGCATCTTCCACCCAGAGCAAGGGGAACTCTCTTCTCTAATCACCCCTTCTTTGGTCAGACAGTAAAGAATCTGCCCGCAATGCGAGAGACCCAGGTTTGATCCCTAGGTCTAGAAGATTCCTTGGAGAAAGGAATGGCTACCCACTCCAGTAGTCTTGCCTGGAAAATCCCATGGACAGAGGAGCCTGGAAGGCTACAGTCCATGGGGTTGCAAAGAGTTGGACAAGACTGAGTGCCTAACACTTTCACTCTTCTCCAAACCAGCCTGGGCACACTCTGTCAGCTAGCTTCTGCCAGCTAGGTAGGAAAACAATTTCTTTTAACAGCCTTCCATGTAGACAGAAGTTACTGGCTCTAGCTGTCTGCAACCAGTTCTGGCACCCCCATCTGAGGGTCACTGTTACTCTGCAGCATCACGACTCCCTCTTTGGTTATTATTTTCATCAAGACATCCTAAACACAGATGTCTACTTCTCCTTGTTAGTTGGAGAGGAGAGGTTATTAGAGAAAGGTGATTAATTTTGTGAGCTCTTCCTAGATTTGGTTCTCGATTTGAATTTGGGCCCTCTTTGGTTATTATTTTCATCAAGACATCCTAAACACAGATGTTTACTTCTTGTTAGTTGGAGAGGAGAGGTTATTAGAGGAAGGCGATTAATTTTGTGAGCTCCAGAAAGATGGGGATCTCCAGAAACTTCCTAGAATTTGGTTCTGGATTTGAATTTGGGCCCTGAGCTCTCAAGAGCCCTTGATCCTTCTTTTGTTGACTTAATGGGCCCAGGTTTTATGATGTCCTTCGAGAAAACTAGAGCATCTCAGACCATTTTATGCTCTATGATGGTTCCACACACAGTAATGAGATGTCATGAATTTTGCCATGTTTTACAAGTGGCGGTTTCATTAAACACATCCTACCATCTTTGATTCTCAGACAGCGAACAGTTTCCGCTGTTCAGACAGATTCTAGTGCTGTCTGTGTTCATGCCGCTGTGGCCAGGACCCCAACACAAAAAGAGGTTTGGAATCCACTGGGCTCCCCAGCCCAGTCTCCACACCCTCCCACCCAGCTTCCATGCACAAACTGCAAATGAGCCGTGGTCTCTCTGAACCCACCAGGCTCGCCCCTTCTCAAGACAAAGGGGGCCAGGCCACCGGGTTGGTGAGCATGGCCAGGATTGCGGAGGCAGCCTATCCTCACGGTGAGCCACTGGCCCCCCTCCGGGCTCTTGGCCTGCCTACCTTGGCGTGCAGACCCTGCTGTCTGTTGGCGAGGATGTCGGCAGCTTCCCGGCAGCGGGTGGACAGGTTCAGGATGGCCGCAGCTGCTGCAATGTGGGTGTCTTCACTGCGCTGGCCGGAGCCGTAGGAGCTGGCACGCCCTGGGCTCTGTGTGTGGGCGCCTGCACTCGGCAGCCGGGGGGGAAATTTCCCTGGACTGGAAAAATGCTTTGCTGTTGAAGAGAGATTTGATTAGCAATTGCACAAACATGGATTTACTCATTAAATAGACTTGTTTGAAAGACAGAACTTCTTGCATGAAAATACGTGAAGAATACATAGAAGCACACTCCATTCTCTCTGGGTACCTTAAATGAAGATTATTCAGATTGGTTTTCACTGGAGTTCATAGATCAGACAAGGTGACTGCTGAGAAAGAAGACCTATTCTCTTAATATTTTTTGTATTTACACATTTTAAGAGAAAAACTCTAACTCAGGTTACTGGGCACGTGCTCTGGCAGCACAGTGGTAAAAATGGTAGGTTAAAGTCTATGCTCGTGAAACTTATCAGGGACTAAAGAGGCTTAAGGCCACAACATCCACAAACAGTGTAGGTATGAGGAATCAGCGATCCCTGTGGAGGAAATGGACTGTTTCATATTTGTTCTCACACTAACAATTTATACTTAGATGCAGAATTGCATGCTTTGCTATCTGTTATGCAGGTTTGTCTTGTGCTTGAATCAGTAGAAGTTTCTCTTCCTCCAACTTGGTGGACCTGAGTAGATGATGAAGCTTGCTTTTTTTAACTTCATTTTTGTGTTCAGGTGAAGGGCAGGGAGTAGGGGATGGACTGAGCCCAAGTTCTCAAGGTGAACAGAAAGGCACTGAATTAACAAGGTTGAGTCCTCCCTTATGCTTCTGCTGCGGGTACCAGGGTGTCCCTGAGAGAATTAAACAGGTTTTTCTTTACTCTGGGTGTTTGCAAACATCATTCAGGGACCGGGAGGCACATTCAAAATTTAATGTGGGATATAAAGGCATTTGGCTGTTTTACTGTATGTAGTGTTTATTTTAAATATTTGATCATTATTTTTCACAAAATATAGTTAAAAACATTACCAAATATTCCTGAAGTTATAAAAATGTCACTGAAAATTCTACTTTTTAAACCAGTATCCATATTATATGAATATTTAGAAGGCTCTTATTAACTAGTTTCATCTGAATTAAACATATATGTATGTGTGTATATTTTATATACATATAAAATAAAACTATCTGCACATAGATACAAAACACTGTGTGTGTATTTGTGTGTATAATTTTCCCCATGAATCTAATAGTTGTCAGTGGTTACCTATGTTGGTTATGCTTTATTTTTAGTAAGAACAGGTAAAGCAATCTTTTAGAGTACAATATATTCTAGTTGATGGACACACTCCTCCCTAGTTTAGCCACTGTTGGGTTTTATACAGCATTCAAGTTCTTTGAAAAATTTGGTGATTCATATCACAGAAGGGAGAAACATTCTGTGTTTCTAAGAGCACCACATCTAGGTAACTATGTGTCAGATCAAAGGGAGTCCAGGGATCTGCACAATGCTGTAAAAAATTCATGGTCTATGGAGGACTCCAACTGGGGGATTATTTCCCTTTGTAGAAATCATTCCTGGATTTATTCCCAGGTGAAAAATCTCACCTTTTCATTAGAATATTCAAAGACTCTAAACAACTGGAGAAAACTGTTAGAAAAAACATCAAGTTTTATGTGTTACAAGTGCCTTTGCATTATGACTGTCCATACAAATGTGTCATTGTTAGAGAATGAACACGTTTCTGCATTAATTCTTAAATCTGTGGGTGAACATCTCCATAGTCACACTTTTTTTTTCCTAGTAAAATCTTGATTTCTGAACTGTGAGTTTCCTCTTAGACCTTTCACTTTTCTCCCACCTTAAGTCTGAAAGCTTTGGCTAATGCAAGTAATACTTTAAGCAGTATTTCGCTGTTTTACCTATTAGATTTTCATAATTTTAATATGAATTAAAATTACTGTATTATAATAGCTATTGCAGTTTTCAGTATACTAATCCCAATCCTGGTTAAATGAGAATTAAATATTTTGTCAGAATTACTGTATTTAGATTCAACAATGGCACCATATTTGTAGAATAATTAAAACACAAACTATTCACCATACTCAGTGTAGCATCATGTAATATCAATAGTACTGATTAACTTATTATTGTTATTCTTATTTTATTTCACCATATATTTTCTCTCCTCCCAGCAATAGTATATTACCTATTAAATATTGCTAAATATTACCAACAAATAATATATTACCTATTTAAATGCATCCCCTCCCATAACACACACATACACAAGATACATTTTTTGGAATAAGTATTGGAATTCAAGCTTACATTCAGGAAATGGTGGTGTTTTCCGACCTGTTTGTACAAGGGGGCGTTTACCAAAAACCTGGGCATCGAAACTGGCGTAATCAAAGGGTACTTTTCCAAACTTCTCTTGCTCTTTTGACACCGTGGCTCTGGGAGAGGTGATGGCTTGTGATCGGAAGTTGAATTCGATTTGCTTCACCAAGCTCGTCCTGAAGAGAGAGGCACAGAGCTCGAGAGAAACAGGATACTCTCATGAGCGTCCCAGCGTCAGAATTTGAAGCAGGTTGGATATGTCACACCTGTGGGTGCTACAGAGACATGCCCTGGGGGAAAAGCTGTGGTCACAGCCAGACGGGGTGGAGGAACAAGGAGGTACTTTGGGCCCTGGGTGGCCAAGTCGGGGAGTGTGGGGGGCAGTTGTACAAGGCTTGTCTGAGTCTCTCATCTGTAACAGAGGGAGCATCATCCTCCACTCATTAATAAAGATGCTTAAGGAGCAAGTATGTGATGTCTATTTGCACTCCGAGCTACTTAGAGATAAGGGTCACGTTACTATCACCAGGGCTCTGATAAGGTGCACACATCCCGCTGTTCGTCAGAGTAGCAGTGAAAGTCATGACGGTCACTAGTGAGGAAATGTCAACATATTCTGTTCGGCACAGCCAGCAGGACCCTGACGTCCAACAGGGGCGGTGTCGGCACCAGAGACTGGATTTCTGAACCACGAACTTCTTCTGAGCCTTTTTACTTTTTTCCCCCCAAGTTCAGATTAAATGCTTTTGCTGTGTTAGGTAGTATTTCAATATTTTATCTATTAAATTGCCATTGTTTCAACATGAATTGAAATTACTATAATAGCTATCTCATTAGAGTTATCTTAATCCAAGCTAAATATGACTTAAATATTCCTTTAGAATTACTGTCTGGATTAAACCAGGGCATCGTGTCCGTGTAGCGCCAACGTCAACCAAGGAAAACACAAATGTGATGCTGTGGTCTAAGGCCAAAGAACACAAATATACCTTTCACTATTTAGTAGTATCAACATATATTATTTTTCTTATTTTTCCCACCAAAACATACTTTGCTCATCAGAATGTCAAAGTTTCTGTGATATTTCTTGGATTAGGTAAAAAGCTTTTGAGTGCTACATCAAAATATTTAAGTGATTAGTTGATCTTGTTATGGCATAAATAACTAGATTTATAGCCTTAATATTGCAGCAGTGTTCTAGCCTAAAATATGTCTCTTTTAAGAAATGGGCAAAATGAAACAATGCTATTTCTGCGTTTGATAAATAACCTCCTTAGGGAACTTCCCTGGTGGTTGAGGGGTTAAGAGTCCAACTCCCAATACAGGGAAAACAGGTTTGACGCCTGGTTAGGGAAGATCCCACACGCCTTATAGTAACTAAGCCGGTGCACCACAACTACTAAAGCCCTCAGTCCTAGAGTCCATGCTCTGCAACAAGAGTGAAAGAAAGTTAAAATGTTAGTCATTCAGTCATGCTCGCCAGGCTCCTCTGTCCATAGGATTTCCCAGGCAAGAATACTGGAGTGGGTTGCTATTCCCTTCTCCAGGGGATCTTCCCAACTGAGGGATGGAACCTGGGTCTCCTGTATCGTAGGCAGATTCATTACCGTCTGATCCACCAGGGAAGAGCCACTGAAACTGGAGAGCAGCCCCTGCTTGCCACAACTAGAGAAAGCCCTGCAGGCAACAAAGACCCAGAATAGCAAAAAAAAAAAAAAAAAAAAACTTAGGGAGAAATTAGAAAATACAGCAATACTGACAAAAATTATTGTTATAAGATTTTTGATTGATAGCTACTCAGTAATTCATCATGATCTTTGCTTGACTTATCTTTCTCACTCATGTAATTTTGATTCTTGGCAAAGTCATGCCAATTGCCCCTTTTAATTAAATCTACAGAAGCAAATATTAAAGGAACACCATATCTTGAAAATGGTCCCAATAACTGTTTTTCTCAGCTCAGTGTCTCAGTAACAACAATGAAGATCTGGTTATCTGTTGTAATCCTGAAATCATTTTTCCTGCATGTGTGATTTTCGTGTTAATAAGTGCACCACTTCACACTGTGTGGTCCTCTGTCGTTACTTAGGTGTAGGTAAAGCCCTCCAAAGTGCTTGAGACAGTAGAGGACCCAGGACGAAGAGGAGGTATGTTATTACTAGTTACCAATTCGGAATGAATTTCCGTTTTAAAGAAACTATATGCATATCTGAAGGAGAAGGATGGATATACAGCATCACATATTTTGAGTTATGAGATTTATGAGATGGAAAGGTTACGTCAACCATAAGGTGATATGTGCCTGGCTCGTGGGAGGGCTTGCAGTGAGTGACCCAGAATTTTGATTAATACATGCTATCATATGAAGTGAAACTGAAAGTCGCTCACTTGTGTCTGACTCTTTGCGACCCCATGGATATACAGTCCATGGAATTCTCCACGCCAAAATACTGGAGTGGGTAGCCTTTCCCTTCTCCAGGGGGTCTTCCTAACCCAGGGATCAAACCCAGGTCTTCTGAATTGCAGGCAGATTCTTTACCAGCTGAGCCACAAGGGAAGCCCAAGAATACTGGAGTGGGTAGCCTATCCCTTCTCCAGTAGATCTTCCCAACCCAGAAACTGAACTGGGGTCTCTTGCATTGCAGGCAGATTCTTTACCAACTGAGCTATCAGGGAAGCCCATGCCATCATATACTTCATATCTTTTCGATTCATCCACATTATGTAACTCTGCACACAGAATAATTTTAAGTTGAACTTCTGAAGGGTCTAGCAGTTCATTTCAGTGACATGATGATGAACTGGGCCAGCCTCTCAAGTGGACAGTGGCTGCTGTGCGCTGAAATGAAGGTGGCCCATGATGCTGGCACGTGGCGGGGTGAGGGACCCTCAGAGTAGGATCTCTGAACACAGGGAGCATGGGGGACTATCATACCTGTGACCCTGCTCAGGACACTGTCCAGTTTTGGGAGAATCAAGCTGACTTTTGTCCTGGGACATTGCCAGTTTTTCAGCTGCAGCAATTGGACAACCAGAAAGACTGTTAAAAAAAAAAAAAAGTGGGCAGATCTGAGTTAAAAAGAGAATATAATTTGCTTGGGCACCTACCTTACTCATCCTTGGCATACACCAAATGTTAAGTCGCAATGATATTAATAATTCTCTTAGCACCATTCTCATCCTAAAAGATCCCAGAGGGTTTTGCAAACTATTGTGTCAACGTTTTTCCCCAAACCTCATTTCAGAGGTGATAGAAAACAAACTCATTTTAAAATCAAAATATTATGTAAAGGAGATATAACTGAATTATTTGGAAACTTGGTGGTATTTTAAGTATTAACAGAACACACTCTTCCAATGGCAATTGTCCAACTATAGGTAATTCCATGATATAACAGCTTAGGGCCTTTGGCAAAATGTTAGGAACTTAATTTTACATCTTAGTTTAAATGGAGATTACAGAATATAAGTTTTCTAGCAATATGCATATGCATCAAATAGTATCTCATGATTACATAATCTATACATAATACATGTAAAACAATAAGCATTTCACCAAAATATTTATATGTATGCAATACATTTGTACATAAATGCACATATGTGTTTTAAGTTAGTTGCGATCTCTGTGGAATAACTCTCAATTAAATGATGTTTGCCTTCAGTAATCTGAAGTTCTATGGTGACTGCTTTAATGCACATTGGATGGGGTTCAAGAGAACCCCTAAGCCACTCTTTCCAAGGTCAATCAGCTCTGGGGAGGTTCAGAGCAGAGGTCACGGTCTGTGTGTGTCCCTATATGAGCATCTACCCCCGGTGTTCAAATATGACATTTTTTGTTGGCTACTCTATGAAAATTTCTAGGGAAATTATGAGGCATTTTATTTTTTACTCTCCACACATTGAGAATATTTCTTATCTGTGTCAAGTGCTAACATGGTTGACAGTGATCCGGCAATTGTGGTAACACAGGGAAGTCCCTGGAGTCTCATTCGTATTACCTCCTATGCGTGTTGCGGTTGCTGTTCACGTGCCCTCGTCCCGTGCATCCCGGGGTGGGGCACTTGAGCACATTTTCATGCATGGCAAGAACTAAGCGCAAAATAGCACAGAAAAGAAAAGAGCAATTTACTACCAATGCATCACATGCCAAGAAACTGATATCTCAACTTTGCATCCAAATGAGTTTAGTTACAATCCAGCTTGCTCCCTTCCCATACAACTTCAGGTTGAAGACCAGGAGCCCATGTGAACATCCAGTATTAAACGTCTTTGGGGTGGCTGGCACTGAGACGTGCCCATCAGGGCGGGCTGTGTGGCCTAAGAGGTGTTTCAATAAGAGGCTCCAAAATGGAGGACAGAGCCTGCAGGTATTTCAAAGCTTAGGAACAGCCCTCCCCTCCCCTCTCCCTCCAGTTTCGGGGCTCATGGCGGGGTGCATGGGTGGAGGGACTAAGAAGGCCCTCACTCAGGGCCCTCAGCATCTGCAGGAATGTCTTGGGTGACACCTCAGATGTCAGGTGTCCCTGCTGCCAAGAGAGGCGGGGGACACAGGTGATGCTCTGGAATCTCGGGTGAGAAAGGACCACAGGACCCACAGAGCATCACTCAGGCCTTTTATCTCCTGTATATTCTGAGGCTTTGATACTGGGGTCTCGCTGACTCTGGGGAGATGGCCCCACTTGGGGCTCCCTAAACACTTTTCAAATGCAAACCAGACAGTTGGAGTCCACGTCTGACATCCTCCCCCATCTGATTCTCACTCCAGGACACTCTCCACCTGTCCTAACCCCCAGGGCCAGGTCCCAAACCCCTAGGCTCCAGAGCTCCCTGGAAAAATTCCAACTGGTCGATCTGAGACCGGCTTACTTCAGCGAAGGCTCCTGCCAATGATTCTTCCCCACTCTCCTCAACTCCCCACCTTCCCTGCCAGCCCTGGTGCTTCCCTGGAGACCCCGCCTGGCCTGAGGAGCCCCCTGCTCTTGGGAACTGTGAGAAGCAAGTTATGTTTTCAACGTCAGTCATCTCTTGATCTATTGGCCTCACTGCACCCCATTTTTTTTATGAATACACTGTATTTTAAAACGCCCGGCTAGATGGGACTTGTCTTGACATAGAGAGAAAACTTGGTATTTCCCTGTCTAATCCCAAACTGGAAAAGAAGGTGGACGACCCCATGGACGCCCTTCAGGGCCAGGCGGCACTCACTCTCCAGGGGGACCCGCACTTTGTGGGGGCACCCCGAGAGGCTGCGGTGGTGGGGGTACAGTCCTGTCACATGCCCCGTGCCGTCGCATCCGGGGATGGGGCACTTGGTCTCTCTCTTCTCAGGCCTCGGCGAGTCTGCGGAGGAATTAAACGGAGAGACAGCTGGTCAGTCCTCGCCCTGCGGTCAGAGCGTGGCCCTGCGGGGCGGCCTTCTCCTGCGGCTCAGCCTCCACAGAATAAACACTCGCCTCAAATCGCCCTGAATAAGACCCTCCACGAAGACCCACGGGAGCAGAAAAAAGTGCCTCCTCTCTGATTTTCTTGGTATCTTAAGCAGAGGCTGAGACAGGGCGAGGGTGTGTCAAAACTCAGTGATGGTTTCAAGTTGTCATGTCAGATGGTAGTTGTGAAAAGTCAGCCCTACACCAGAGGATGAGTAGGCTCCAGAAAAGCAAAAGAGAAGAAATGTATTTAAACCCACACAGTCTCTTATTGAGGGAATCTGGAAAAGCCAGGCTCAACCATCACACGATGAAGAAGCTGTCCTATTTGAGGAGGGACTGCCTGGGTGGCCCAGCGGGTCCTTGTGGCAGGTGCAGTGGCCCCAGGGCTCTGGGTTCCATCCCCGTGGGGAGGCTGCCCTGACAAAAGGCTACCTCTTGCCACTCCCGGCCGGTGGACAGGGCCGCAGGGGCCTGGGAAGCCCAGACCCCCGTGGTCCACAGCCCTGGATCAACTCGCCCCAGCTGTGGAGGAGAAGAGGCTATGGTTTCAGTCCTGAGGCAGAAACTGAAGGCAGAGGCCTGGCAAGGACACATCCTTGGGGGAGACCTGCAGAGTATGGGAGCAAGAGAGTGGGGCAGCCTGGAGTGGTTCACAGAGCACTGTCAGAACACGTGGGGCCTGGGGGTAGACCACACGCACAGCTGGTAGAGGAAAGGGATGCCTAGTAACCCACACAGTCAGGGGGCCTGGAAGGCGTGGGCTGATGACAGCTCAGGGTCCTCATTTTCCAGCACACGTGAGGCTGGGGGTTAGATGATATGTGTGAGTGTGTGTGTCTGTGTGCGCATGTGTGCTCAGTCATGTCCGACTCTTTGTGATCCCATGAACTGCAGCCCGCCAGGTTCCTCTGTCCATGGGATTCTCCAGGCAACAATACAGGAGTGGGTTGCCATTTCCTTCTCCAAGGGATCTTCCTGACCCAGGGATTGAACCTGTGTCTCCTGCATCTCGTTCATTAGAGGCAGGTTCTTTACCCCTTAACCACTGGGGAAACCTGAGGGTTAGATCAAGGATTACATCAATACATAAAATAAATGAAGACTAACATGAATATGCTCATGTTCATGACTGAGAGGGAAGATAAGCTTAAAAGCAAAATGCATTCTCAGAGCTGAAACTGCACTCTAACTAGTGAGTGAAGTGACAATGCCAGCTTGGGACAGGTCTGTCCCTCACATCTGGGGATTCTAGAGAACCAGGACCAGAACGGGCAGAGAGGGACTCAGAGAAAGGACCAGTGTGGTGCGGAGGCTGCGGCTTATCAGAACTCCAAGCATCAGGAATCAGGAACACACGATGCTGAGAGTGAAAGTCAACAGTCCACGAGGTCCTGCCACAGGGAAGCCACGGGCGATGCATATGGGCAAGGTCCCAGCTGCGAGGACACTGAGGGCCCATATGCTCCGGCTCCAGAGGCGGCACGGAGCGCCAGGCAGTGCTGCCGATGAATATTGTGGAGAACAGACATGCCTCAGTGTGGCCACGCCACCCCAGTTTTCAGAGGGTACATGGTCCTGGGCAGATGGGCACAGCAGGTCGTATGTAAAGCAATTATTGGGGGCGGGGGGGGCGTTGGTTTTAACAGAGGGGGAGGAGCCAAGGACCCTTGGAGTTAGAAGCGCTGCCTGGGGAGGGGTGCCAGGGATCGGCAGGGAAAAGACGTGGAGGTGGGAAGAGACACTGGAATAGCTGGTGTGCTTGTTTCCTGAGACAGGATTTAATGCCGGGGTGTGGAGACTACACTGTTTTCTGTGAGACAAAGGGACGTATGAAGAGTTCTGACATGTATGATTTTGTGGGGCTATTTTTCACTGAGTCTGAAAGTGCTGCCAAATTTCAAGTTCATTTGGGTACAGAATGTCTGCAGAAAGCTAGTCAAAACCCTCGATGTTTGATTAACATGAAATCGGGATGGGGGGCTGCTGACACCCCATGAAAGCGTGTTGGAAAGAAGAAGAAAACCTGAATTCTGATGGCCTTCCTCCCTCGGATCAGGGCCAGGTGAGGCTGCATTTCCAAACCACGGTGAGAGGTCTGGCCACGCTATCTGCCTGCGGGAAGCCAGAGGGGGTGTGGGAGATAAGGGAGGCTGGCCCCTGCCCAGGTGGGGGCCGTGTCTGCCAGCCCCTCCTTGTGGGAACAAATACGCCCGCAATGCTCTCCAGGGCCAGCCCCGTGCCTGAACCAAGCGCAGCGGCCGCTCTGGGGGTGGGAGGGCTCTCTGGCCTGGCTATTCTTTCTTCATTTTCCTTCCTGGATGCTGTTTAATGAAAATGACCTTGCGGTCTGGTGACCTGACGTCCTGATGGGCTCGTGGGCTTGTTCCCATGGCTCCCCTTCACCCTGAAAATGTCACCGGCTGTAGAATACATTTTACGGTGACTCTACTTAAACTGCGACCCAAAACCTCCCTGTGGCTGGTGGCAACAGGACAGCAAACTGGGTAACTGAAGACTTCGGTGAAACAATATTTTAAAATCCTAGTATTCTTGGAGAGCGAAGTCCCATGCCTGAGGCACATGGGAAATTAGTGCCAACTTGCTGTTGTTCAATCACTCAGTTGTGTCCAACTCTTTGGGTCGCTGTGGACTGTAGCCCACCAGGCTCCTCTGTCCATGGAACTCTCAGGCAAGAATACTGGAGTGGGTAGCCATTTCCTCCTGCAGGGGATCTTCCTGACTTAGGGATTGAACCTGCATCTCTTGTTACAGCAGGTGGATTCTTGACCACTGAGATGCCTGGGAAACCTGGTGTTAACTTCGGCACATGGAATATACTCTCAAGAGAAAAAAAACAGCTCCTCTTATGATCCCACACCAGGGATGAGAGGAAGAGTATGAACTTGGACATCCTCTGGGAGAAGCCTGAAGTTCCTGCAGTCGGCTTCACTGTTCTGCCTGTTTCTTCCTGTCTGGAATGAAGTTCCCTGCATGGACTTGATACCCCAGGGCGTGACCTCACCCGCCTCCCCCACCCCACACACAGGCTACACCATGGACTCATCTAGTCCCATCAGTGATTCTCTAAGGCTCCACGTGACCTGTATTCCTTAACTCACATTCTATTGCCTTGTTAATTTTTGTAAACAAAAGCGTCTTGAAAGTTCTATGAAAGAGACCAAAGTATTATCATGTGTTTTAAACTGTGATACAAAGTATCTCCAAAGTTGGGATTTCATTGGCTGAAGATACCATCAGTTGTAAGAGGAAACTTTATTCTGTGTGCCAGTGAGAAAGGAAAAACAATTGAAAACTGAAAAATGGCACACCCTTCCAATTTTACAGAGATGCTAAAATGGGAAAACTGTGTGTCTTAGAAGGGAGGAAATAGATTTGCTTTGGAAATGATGGGGTTTTGGAATAGGAAGAAAATTTCATCTTTTTTTCTGATTTTGTTGTTCATTAAAACACATACACTTGTGCGTGTGCGCGCGCGCACATACACACAAGGGTAAGTTCCACAAGCTGAGTGTGAATGGAGTGCTCAGGGCTGCTTATACAGCGTCCTGCCCCAGACCACATGCTGTTCCTTAATATTCAGCCCTTAGAGTATGTACCCAAAGAACTACTTGTCTTATCCCTCACCAAATAACATTATTTTATTCTTTTTTTTCCTCAGAGATGAGCTATAACACAGTATTAGACAAGATTGCAGGTGAGTACTAAAATGGACTTAAAACACCCACCTGATTTCTCGATAAATTTCAGTGATCAGAACATCTAGCTAGATAGCACATTATTCTCATCAACCCTGTAAGTCCCCAAACTTGACCTTCTCTAGGATATTCCTCCCCTAATTCTGTGGTTCTCAGATTTTACGGTATCCAAGAATCACCTCAGGAACTTGCTTTAAAAAAAGCAAGTTATGCACATGAAATGATGCTCAACATTGCTAATTATTAGAGACATGCAAATCAAAACGACAGTGAGGTACTACTTCACACCACTCAGAATGACCATCATTAAAATGTCTATAAACAAAAAATGCTAGAGAGGGTGTGAGGAAAAGGGAACCCTCCTGCGCCACTGGTGGGCATGTAAACTGGTACAGCCACTATACAGCACAGTATGGAGGTGCCTCAGAAAACTAAAATAGAGTTACCATATGATCCAGCCATTCCACACCTGGGCACATATCTGGAGGAAAATGTGGTTTGGTTCAAACAGATACATACACCCCAATGTTCATTGCTGCACTATTCATAATAGCCAAGACATGGATGAACCTAATGTCCACTGACAGAATGGATAAAGCAGATGTGGTACATACACACAATGGGATATTACTCAGCCATAAAAAAGAATAAAATAATACCATTTGCAGCAACATGGATGGACCCAGAGATGATCATACTGAGTGAAGTAAGTCAGAGAGAGAAAGACCAATATCATATGATGTTGCTTATATGTGGAATCTAAAAAAATGGTACCTATACATGAAACAGACTCACAGATATCGAAAAAGAACTTATGGTTACCAGTGGGGAAGAGTGGGGTGGAAGGGATAAATTAGGAATTTGGGATTGACATATACACACTACTACATGTAAAACAGATAACTAACAAGGACCTACTCTACAGCACAGGGAATTATACTCAGTGTTCTATAATGACTTACATGGGAAAAGCATCTGAAAAAGAATAGATATATGTACAAAGGGCTTCCCAGGTGGTAAAGTGATGAAGAATCCACCTGCAACGCAGGAGATACAGGAGACACAGGCTGGATCCCTGCTTAGGGAAGATCCCCTGGAGGAGGGTCCAGTATACTGAGGTAGGGTGCCACTAAGGACCACCACTTGGGAAGCCTCGCTTAACTGAAGGACTCATCACAGGCCCAGGGAGTGCAGAACTCGGTGGTGGTAGTGGCGTATGTCTTCATGGGAGATGCAATTTCCCAAAATCTGAAGATCGATTTTAAGGTTTCCCCCAAGCACACAGACTTTCTCATTCGAGTTTGGTCCAGATGTTTCCAGACCCAGAGTTAGAGAGCTTGTTTAAGGCATAGGCTTAGGAATTAGGGATTTAGGCTAAGGAATTAGCTCCCAGTCTTGTCCCAAGAATGATGAGAACATCTTGCCTGGCTTGCAAGTAGCCTGATGTCATTTTGAAACTCCAAGCCAATGAGATGATCCCAGAAAGAGGATGGGAAAGAACAATTAAAATTCAATAAATACTAATGTACCTCTAACATATCCAACATAGCACTTTTTTAAAAAGACTACTATATATTAAAAAAACAGTCATATTAAGAGAAATACAGTCAATGATTTTTCTTGTGTGTGAAAATCACATAAAACCAACCAAGCTTGATTTGAGAACAAGCTAGAGAATAGGAGAAAAATTTGGTAATTTTATAGTACAAATCAGATTTTTTAACTGTGTTGTCAAAAAGCTATCTGGCAGAAGCAATCAAATCTCACTCGTTCCCCACCCCCAACTCTAAAGCAATTTTAAATGAAATAAAAGCAAAACTGGGTCTTACGTTTATTGGGAAAGACTTGTCTTCCACCCATGTCGATGACTTTGGTTTGCCTCCTCTCCCCTGAGAGATGCTCCAGCAGAAAGCGGTCCAGCTCTTTGTAGGTGTTGTGGAAGACGCAACCTCGCTCAGCCTGCAGGGCGATCGCCTGCTCCAGCAGACTCAGGTTCCCCTTGGCTTTCTCCAGGGCAGTGGCCTCCTCCGTCCCAGCGGCCGGACACCCACGACCATGACCACGGTCCTCACTCCCTGGAAAGGAGGGCTGGGCTGGGCCATCTGATGGGTCCAGTGGGGTGTTCTGAGGGTCTTTCCTTTCTGTTTCTGAATCACACGCATTTTTGCAGGAGATAAACTTGTTGCCTTCAGTTTTTATTTCGGGAACTTCCAGTAGGTCTTTCCTATCATCCACTAAAACATACTTTGGGGCCCTTGGAGGTTTGGTTTCTTCTGAGAAGTTGGAGCCACTGTCCCAGCCATTCTCCGCACTTTCAGAGTTACTGTCGCTGTCAGAGGAGGGCGAGAACCGCAGCTGGGAGTTGTCGGCCTTGTCTTTTCCATCGTCGGAAGGAACCATAAAGCACTCGTCCACTTCGTCCCCCTCTGCTTTTAGAGACTGGATGCCGCTGTCGTTTAAATTTTCACTTACAGTCTGAACAGATGCACTTTTTTCCAGGGTCCCCAAGTGCATTAGGGATTTGACCACGAGTTCCTGATAACAGCCGTATCTGTCTTCCTTCCCATCTGAGTTTTCTTGTGCGGTTGAGTGAAACTTCTCTTCCATGGGTTTTATCATGATTTCTTCAAGGGGAAAAAGAAAGCCATTATTTGAAAAACAAGAATGAAAATATTTTAGGGAAATTACAATGACCAATAAATAGATAGACAGATACATGTACAATGGGCTTCCCTGGTGGCTCAGCAGTAAGGAATCCGCCGCAGTGCAGGAGACACTGCCCTGTTTGAAAAGTACAATTCGAACACCCACGGTTCGAACCCTGGGTCAAGAAGACTCCCCGGAGGAGGGCATGGCGACCCACTCCAGTGTTCTTGCCTGGAGAATTCCATGGACAGAGGAACCTGGAAGTCTACAGTCCATAGGGTTGCAAAGAGTCACACACAACTGAAGCGACTTAGCACACACACATACATATACAATAGATGCAATATGTGAATATGTGGACTCTATCAATTTTATAAACATTGGGTAGAAAAATACACACTTTTGACAAAACAAAACAAAGTAAAATTCAGATCTTAATGTTCTTGAGAATTACCTTTAAAGAAATGAGCTATTTGAATTTTCAGCATGTCAGAGCTAAGTGTGTTTATAGTTACTGAAATAAATGCTCAACCATCAGAGTTCTGAATGTGAAATTCACATTACTGTACCTCTTATATTTGCAAGTCTCAGCCAACTGGAGGAAAATCAAATATATGTCCTATTATGCATTTTAAAGGAATTATTAATTGGTTTTTCTCTGCTAACTGGCAATATATTTTCAAAGCTTATTCAGTTGATTTTCTCTACTTCTGTAGAGAAACAAACTTTCAGATTTCAAACTTTCCCAAACAAACTTTCAGATTTTATGGGATGTTAGCTAAAATACACAACATGTCTACACAGAGATGATAACTAAAAGAAGCCCTGATCACTTTCATACTTGTAACATGGAAATTCCACACCAAGGGAAACACAAATAAATGGAAAAAGAGTAAGATGGAATAATGCCTTGATTAGTAGCACAGTTTCTGGCCTGGTACCCACGTATACTTATGTGAAAAGGGAGGTGGGGATGGTTGAAGGATGCTGAATGTCAGCTAGTTGTTCCCAGTCCTGATGGTCAAGAAGGCCTGGGACTGAGGACAGGTGCCCAAGTACCAGTCTGTCCTTGTCGTATCCACATCCAGAGCAGCCATCAGTGTCACCCCCCTTCCCTCTTGGCAGTGGCCTAGTCAGGGTCACAGACGGTGTGTGTTTATTTATATACACTGTCCCCGTGCAAACACACCAACTGAGGTGCGGGTCCGTGGGGGCCCCAGCCCCAGCCTGGCACCTTGGAAGGGGTTGCCCAGGGAGCTCAGCGCTTGCCAGGCTGTGATATATACCAGACAACCCGGCAGTGGTCCCTGGCACTCATGAAGACAAAAAAAATAAGCAGGACCATTTCTGTGTCTCTACAGGCGGAGTGGGGGATGGGAAGATAAAATAATAAGCCTCCTTAAAGACTGTTAAAGACACCAAGTGCAGGGCATTCTGCGTTAATGCATGTCTTGGGGGGAAGAAAAGCACAGGCGTCCCGCAGAAGGGCTGCGGGAGAGGGTGTCTGTGCAGAAGACAATATGCCTTTTTTGGGGTCCCATTTAATTTTTTATAAACATTGTCTCTGACAAGGACACTCAAAAATACATCTCCATCATCTTCCTTTCTGGTAATTATCTCCCTAAATCAACACTGGACTGCCAGGATCAAGTAAATATTGCCATAGTAACTAAAAGCATTTTTGGATGAAGAGAAGAATTGAGTCACAACACTAGCCCCTTTAAATACCACTGATTATAGGGTGCAGTCCTTTGTTGGGATCTATTCAACATAAACTGAAAAATTTAACATTTTACTTCCTAGAAAAGAGGCTGGCAAAACCCAGTCCATAATATTTGAGAGGACGGTCTATCCTCTTCTGAATTCATATCAGAGGAACTCCAGGTTTAAATAATATATTAAACATAGTCTAAAATGCAAATGAAGTTTTTCTCAATATCACGGCTGGCTATTAAGAGAAAGTGTAAAGGGTTATGATAATTTTAGAGTATTATGAACTACAGAAAACAAATAAAAAGCATTTTCTGTGAATATGCTCAATTCATTGAACTATTCTCTCAACTCCACTTAAGTACCCACATGTGTACAATAATGATTTATAGACATTATACCTAATTATGCATATTTGGGCTGTGTGAGAGTGCTAACAAAAGCTCTGGAAAGCAACAATTACCTCTGTTGCTTAGTTACATAGTTTAAAATATTCCTATTAAGTGCAGATCGTCGGAGAGGCGGGGTGACAGCCGTGCACGTGTGCCCGACAATGCGTGTCACCGAGCCGCTGCCAACACGAGCGTTTTGGGTCATTTCCAGTTTCCATAATTGTTTGGTTCAACTGTTGGTTATATGCTAAAAGAAAATATTTATTAATTATTCTTCAGAAAGAGAGGAGCCCTGCCGGGAGAGGTGCCGGCGTGCGGCGTCCAGGGATTTCCAGGCATGCTCAGCAAACCTGCCAACAAACCTGCCACGCGCCCACCCCCGCTGCTGCCACTGTCACTGTCACAGAGAGAGACCCTGAGCTCACTTCGAGCCTGACAGATCTGCGACGGGGCACCCAGGCTCCGTATATTCTCTATGCTCGTGCAATTTTACTTTCTGGGGTGGCTCAGTGATCTGTTTTGTGCTTCTGCCCGTGAAATAACCCAAGAGACCTGCACTGGAGACCTCATTTGAGTCTGGACCTGGCGTGTGTCTGTGTCAAGCACGACGGCTCCTCAGCCCCATGGGAGAGCAGGTGACACCCTACGGTCTTCAATAAAGGATGGACACTGTCCCTTTCCTGACGCTGCAGCAGAACGAGTGATGGTAGAGGAGACATAGGAGCCTCCACCTGGGCAAGGTGGGGGCTGTCTTCATTCAGAGTGAGGAGTGACCTGCCAGCCATGGAAGGGCCCAGTCTTGCATCTGAAGCGGACTCAGCCCAGGTCACCACTTTCCATGTCACACACGCTACGATCACCAGCCACCTTGGGAACAAGAGGGTCTGAGCACAGCGTGGAGGGAGACTCCCCCCGCCCAGGTCTGATGTCCAGAGACTGGGGTCATGGCCTGTGTAATCTCAGGCAGGCCACTGTCCTTGGAGTCCTGGGTCCTCATCTTTAAAGCGATGATAAGGGGCTCCCCTGGTAGCCCAGTGGTTGAGAATCCACCTTTCAATGTAGAGGACAGGAGTTCCATTCCTGGTTGGGGAACTAAGATCCCACATGCCTCGGGGCAATGAAGCTGGTGTACTGCGACTACCGAGCCTGGGGCTGCCAACTGTGGAGCCCAAGGGTTCTAGAACCTGCACTCTGGAACCAGAGAAGCCCACTTGTGCTGCAGCTAGAGAAAGCCTCGAACCACAACAAAGACTCAGCACAGTCAAATTTTTTTTAAAAAGGATGATCCGATATCCCAGTGACCAATGAGCCAATGATAAGATATCCTGACAATAAACTGGTATGTCCCTGGTATGATGTCCAGTTACTTATTTCATTTAATCTTCACAATAACTCCAAGAAAGGTACCTTTGAATCTCTTCTACCAAAGGGAAACCAGGGTTCTAAAGAGCTAAGGGCTTGCTCGGGTTCACATGGCCAGCCAGTGGGGGGCTAAGAGTCAACTCTGAAGCCTAGTGCCTACTGTTTGCCCAAATCTGGATACTTTCAAGACTGAATTATAGGAAAATACTAAAATACACCTGTCAGCTAACTGATGATGAAAAACAACACAACCTAATGTATAAATAAAAATACATAAAACAAACACAACAAAACAAAAACTAACATCGTGCACTTCACAGCAACATGTGATGGAAAATTCCTCTGGTACATTCCCGGGCTTGGAGAGGGGTAACACTTTCCTCATAGAGCAAAAAATAAATAAATAAACTGTTTTTTGGGGGGCCTGATATGTAAAAGCTCGCATTTACTTTATACCAAAGTCTCTTCTCTGAGGGGTCTGGTAATCCTGAAGATACAGAGCAGTGATCACCCATGCATGTCAGCTGTTCTGCATCAAAACAGCTTAAACAAAAGAAACCCTCCTGGTGGTCCAGTGGTTAAGAATCTGTCTTCCAATGCAGGGGACACAGGTTCAAGTCCACGTTGGGGAACTAAGATCCCACATGCTAAGTCTGTGTGTTGCAACTAGAGAAAATGTGTGCTGCAACTAAGACCCCATGCAGCCAAAAATAAAAATAAACAAACAAATATTAAAAGAAAGAAAGCCTGTAAAAGTCATAACATGTTTTGAGTTTGATTCCTTTAGTATAACTAAGTTTCGGATTTTAGTTCTGTTTCTAGTTAAATGATTTTTACAGGTAAATTAGTTTTCCAGGCCTCCTGAGTTATGTCAGTTTTGCTGAGAATGAAAGCCCTAAGAAATGAATTCGTCTTTCAAAGCTTTTAAGTGGGAGTGGCTTATCCCTTACTTGCTGTTTCTTGAGAGATAAAATGTTCAAAATATCACCGCAGTCCCCAGAGCTGCCACGAGTGTGAAGAGTTCTCAGATTCACGAGCTAGTGCTCACAGCCTGGGGAGGACTCCAGACAATGGTTCACCCCACTTCTTTCCTTCATCTGCACTGGGAATGCATGAGCTCGACCTGCCTCCTGATGGTGCTTTGAAACCTCACCTTCTATTTGCCCTAGTGAAAAAGGTGCATTTGCATTGTTTTGTCTAAATTTTCTTCCATCTATTGCTCTCTTTCTAAAAATGTTTATTTATTTTGTTGCACTGGGTTTTTGTCACAGCATACAGGATCTTCAGTTGCAGCATGTGGGATCTAGTTCCCTGACCAGGGATCACACTCAGGCCCCCTGCATTGGGAGCTCAGAATCTTAGTCACTGGATCACCAGGCAAGTCCCTCTTCTATCATTCTTATTGCCCACGGGCAGCTCTTGGAAAGACAGCTGGCAGAAGGCACATGGGGCACAATTTTGCCATTAAAGGGACTCAAGCTCATGATCTTAGCTTTCACGAGCTTATATCCTCTCTCATCACCTAAACTGCCCACTGAAGACAATCAGGCACACACCTGGTCAGGTGAATACCTTGGGGCACCTGGATGGTAGATAGAAGCCCTTCGGCTGGGCTTGGATGAAAACCCAGCTCTCTTTCTCTCTGGGAGACTTGCTTAGGAGGCTGAAGGCCACTTGGAGTTTTCCTCTTTCAACCAGGGAAGGGGGCACCTGGGACTGGTCATTTTTGGATATGTGACTTTGTCATTTGACATGGTGGTGACTTTGCCCACTCTGCCTTCTGAAGATACTCAGAGCATGAGGATTGGATTATGGAGCATGGTTAGCTGAGAGATCAGAATCTTGCTTGTCCTTCAATTGTCTCTTAATTATCTCCTTTCCAACAGTTACAAGCTGCATCAACTTCAGCATTAACTCGTTTGTCCTCAGTGGTCTCATCTGCACACCTGTGGTCACAATTATACAGTCAGGTCACTGTTGGGTGGGTTAAGTGATATGGTTTATGTGCTCAGGATATAGTGAGAATCAAAAGTAATGGCCACCACAGTGTAAGTTTAGCATATTCATTATTATTAGTAGTAGTTCTAATATTGAATATAAAAAAGAGTGAACCTTTCTGAAGCAGCAGAGAGATGTCTATCAGTGCTTATAAGTGCGTATTTAACTGAGAACATTTGACAGTATATTTTCCTGGTCAATATCAAGCACCTACAATGATCATTCAGTGACAACAGAAGGTGGGAAGCCCGTGGGCAGGTACGGACCTGGTCCTCATGGCACCTGCAAAATGTTTTGGTGTAAAAGATGCCATTTTCCTGAATACTTGGTAAATTAATGTCAATGGTATTAATTATTGTGTGTGTATATGCTGTGCTCAGTCATGTGTGACTCTTTGTGACCCCATGGACTGTAGCCCGCCAGGCTCCTCTGTCCATGGGATTTCCCAAGCAAGATTACTGGAGTGGGTTGCCATTTCCTACTCCAGGGGATCTTTCTTACCCAGTGATCAAACCCATGTCTCTTGTATCTCCTTATACCTCAAGTCTAACCATTACTAAATCAAGGATTTTCCCTGACACTAGATTCAACCTGCAATTTTCAGGAATCAACAAGAAACTGACCAGCCCAAGGAAACCAACAAGTCAAGGATGATAATTTACAGATGAGCCATGAGGCTTTAAGATGTATGTTAAATACAGAAAAGCCAGGAAATTTACTCCAACACAAATAAATAAGAATACAATTGTTTTAACTACAGAATCTCACACTATTTGCAAGTTGAGATTACTGGAGATTGATGATTGTGCTCTAAGATTTGCATCCACTCAGTCAATAAACTTTGACACTTTTTCTGTTAACTCCTTTTGCAATTACTACCATTCTATATGCAATAGGTATTTATGACCTAAGAATCTCATTGCCTTAGGCTTGTATAATGTAAACTTCTTTCCAAATGACAATTTATTTGGTAAATTTTGATTACTTAAAAACACATTCAAAAAAATGTGTATGTAATAGCACACGAAAGTGAAAAGTGTTACTTGCTCAGTTGTGTCCACCTCTTTGCAACCCACGGACTGTAGCCTGCCAGGCCCATCTGTCCATAGAATTCTTCAGGCAGGAAAACTGGAGTAGTTTGGCATGTCCTTCTCCAAGGGATCTTCCCAACTCAGAGATCAAACCCGGGTCTCTCACATTGCAGGCAGATTCTTGACTGCCTGAGCTACCAGGGAAGCCCATACTTAGCTCTAATAGCAGATACGTACATTTAATTTCACTTTCTAATTAAGTCAAGCTTTAGATCTCCGTATATTTTTAAAAACAAACTTTTGAGATACTTCGCATGTCCTTCAATGTCAGCCTCATGCACAAAGTGGTCTGTGATGGTCTAGCTCCTGGAGATACTGAGACAACCAGGTCTAGTGGGTATGACCATGAACTAGGGAGAAGAACATCCTAAAAATTTCAAAATAAAATTAGGGATGGGGGATTAAGAGCTGCAAACTACTATGTGTAAAATAGATAAGCAACAGGGTGTATCATACAGCACAGAGAATTATAACTGTTTATGGTGTACAGTAAAAATACTGAACACTATGCTGAATCATAATATTGTAAATCAATTATAAACATCAGTAAAAAATTAACAAAATAAAATTTCAAAATATAAAATAGAAATAGAGACTGCATCTCATATGTCATTTGGAAATGTTGTAAAGCTCATTTTGCGGTTTTCTTTTTTAGGGATTGAACATCCACCCCATTGCTGAGTCAAGGTCCTCTTCAACTGAAAGACTGAGCAGCTTTTTACCTTCTGCAGAAAGAGGCACAGTCCAAGCTTGTGCTCCTGCAAATGGCCCAGGGGCAAGGATGCTCTGTGGCTTGTGTTTGACCTTCCCACAGCAACGGAGGAAAATGGTCCTCGCTAGCGGATGCTGAGGGAAACCAATGTCTGGTTTTGATCCCGCGTTGGGATGTGCTTTCCCACCACACGGCATGTTCCCCCTAAGGTGGGCCTGGGTTTGGGGAGGAAGTGAAGTAAAGCTGGGGCCAGGCCCCTCGCTACCTGTGCTGGGGTGATGGTTGGTTTGCAGGCAATCATCCGGCCCCTCCGCCTCTGTCTGGTCTGCACGCCCCTCCTCACAGTCCACGCTGGGGCTGTAGTGTCGGGGCTTCATGAGCAGGGACTTTCTTTTGTTGACCGGGACCCCCAAAGCCTGCTCCCCGGCTCTCCTCTTCTTGGCTGTGGTGCAATCGTGTGCAGCGCTGCAGTAACAGACACAGGTTAAGAACATGGCAAAAGAGTTCATGGCTGCCTGACCCTTGACCATCACCAAGTAAACCCAAAGGAAGTTGTGGCCCAGTTTGGGATTAGTTGTCAGCACTAACAAAAACAGCCGGTGAGTTGAATCCATTGAACTGTGTAGATTCTATTTTACTGCTGATCAGAAGAGTTAAAAAAAAAAAAATCATCCTTAATCCTGAGTAAGCATATGTTAATCTGAGCTTTGCCTGGCACTAGACTAAATACCCAGGGACGGATGAAACAAGATTTGCACTGGTTTGTTAATCCCAAGAAAGAGCTAATGTGAAAAATATACCACCAGCTACAAGAAATGTGTCCAGTATGGATAAACCACAAGGTTTTTCAGATAGTTGTTTGCTACTGAAACTGCTTATCTCTGCCACAGTTGCATGTCAAACTTGAGATGCCATACCCTGGGCTTTGACTTGAAAGACGGGGCATTAAGTGGGGACATGGGGGGAGGCTGTGAACATTTGATCAGCCCATCTCCAGGCGCAGAAAAAAGTGGAAGGATGCTCATGGCACTCTGCCGTTTGAGTCTCACCCATTTGGCACACAGAACAAACAAATAAAAGGAAGAGAAAGGAGATTGGATTTCACAAAAATGGACCACAGTTTATCCTTACTCCTGCTCTCATTTCGTTTTATTTGGAAGTCCTCCTGAGGATGGCCCTTTGAAAACACATTTCCTACATATAGCTCGCTTGGCATCAGAGCAGCTCACTCTGTGCTGAAGTTAAGACAAACATTCTCTTGATGAGATCTAGGAAGACCAGAGGGTTCAGCCAACATTGAGTCTCTGGCATACATTTATTAAATGCTCTTTGGAGAAAAATGCAAGGGCTTAAGATGAAAAGATCCAGAGGAGAGTACCCTGGTCGCAGAGTAATGAGATATTATTTATTCCATCTCTAAAAGAAGGTTGAATATTCAGTAATATTAAGACAAGGCCTTAACTTGTTCTTTTAAAAACATCAATACAGAGAAATACCAATGGTGGCCCATTTGTGAAAATTATTTGATCATCATCATACATGAATTCTTGGGCTTCACAGGTGGTGCAGTGGTAAAGAACCTGCTTGCCAAGGCAGGAAACTCAAAAGACTTGGTTTCTACCCCTGGGTCGGGAAGATCCCCTGGAGAAGGAAATGGCAACCCACTCCAGTATTCTTTCCTGGAAAAACTCCATGGACAGAGGAACCTGGCGGACTACAGTCCATGGCATCACAAAGAGTGACATGACTGAGCACAAGCATAGATACATGAATTATTGAATTTAGAAGGGTAGATTTTTAAATTTCAGAAGAAAATCAGTGCTCTTTCTTTTCTGGGAAATAAAAGATTCTGGAAGGAGGGATAATTCAACAGGGTTAGAAATCCCTCGGAAAAAAAAAAAGATTAAAAATTGAGAATTGAAGATTATCCTGATGTGGAAGAGAAGAGCAAGTTTCCGAGATAAACTAATGTGCTTTGGCAACATTTCTCTGATGAGCCCAAATTTAAAGTGACCATGTACAGATGATGGGGTAGAATAGAATCTAAGAAAATGAGCAGGAGGGCAGACAGGGGCCTTCAGGAGGAGACTAGAGGGCCCGAGCCTGGCCAGTCAAGCAGAACAGTCTATGACACATGTGTCTTACGTCATGGGAGCAAATGCAGACACAGAAGCAGACCTCCCGGGGCCCATGCCTTCTCTGGCCAGGAGGACGATCTGTGAAAGGAGAGGGATAGGAGAAGAAAGCTCCCAGGAATGTGAAGAGGGTTCAAGAAGCCCCCTAAACCAAGTCTCCTAAACCAAGAGAGTTTCCATTAAGATGCTCACAAAATACACAAGTAAGACCACTTAACCGCTATCCAGGACCAAGAAGATTCATAGAAGATGAAAGAGGCTTCCGGCAAATGACATTCAGATGCTAAAACGGGGAAGGAAAGTGGACTCTAAATACCAATATAAGCAGAGCATGGGCTCTGGAAAAGAGGCTGGAAAGGTTTATTCAAACAAAGCTTCATCAGCACCAGGACAAACACGGATCACAGAGACCTGGCTGGAGGACTTGGCCAGTCCCACAAACACCATTTCTTTCTGATGGTTGGGGTGATGAATGAGGTGGAACATCTAGTTCCGGTGGGATTCTTACAGATTTTGCCTGGTCAGTATATATTTTTGAAAATAAATTATCTCCTGGAGCATTTGTTCTCATTTTCTTTTTTTTTAAATATAATTTTATGTATTTATTTTTGACTGTGCTGGGTCTTCACTGCTACACGGGCTTTTCTCTAGTTGCACCAAGGGGGGTCTACTCTCTAGTTGCAGTGTGCAGGCTCCTCATTGCTGTGGCTTCTCTGCGGAGCACGGGCTCTAGGGCGCACGGGCAGGCCAGGGTCTCTAGAGCACAGGCTCAGTAATTGCCGCACACGAGCTTCATTGCTCCAAGGCATGCGGGATCTTCCTGCATCAAGGATCAGACCCATGTCTCCTGCATTGGCAGGCAGGTTCTTTACCACTGAGCTGCCAGGGCAGCCCTGTTAATATTCTTATCTTGTTAATGTTTTTATCCAAGTTTACTTAGGAAGACAAGGAACTTCCCAAAAGCACGTGACCTGTAACTGGTGGGGCTGATATTTGAATCTGGCCTGCTGGTCCCCAAAGTTCATGCTCTCCCTACATGTTGCCAAATCAGAACTAGCAACCTGGGCAATTTCCTTCTGCCTTTGACAACTGGGTGGAGCAGGCACTGTTAAACCAGTCACCACTCTAACCAGAGGAAGCCACCTGGCCACAGGGCTGATCCCAATGATTCAGGTCTCATTAAACCAGGAGAAGATGCTCAGTCAAAGCAAAGAAAAATGTCACAGAACGTGGTTAAGACACAGGCTCCCACACAATGTCCGTACTGTGGAGCAGTAGAATGAACATAATGAGGAGACATTAATGATAATAAAGATCAAGTGCAGCATTGGGTCCAAACAATAACTTGTGGAAGGCTGAAAAGGATATTAAGGTTCTATCAAAAAATACAAATACAGCTTCAAAGAAATGAATGCATTTGATACTAACAGTGCTAATATTAGCTGTGTCATCTGCAATGAGTAATTGAATCTTCTAGGATGCTAAATTCCTCATCCAACAAAGAGGGATAACAATTTCCATATCACATGTTGTGGGCAAAGAAGGTGATATCCGTGCTGCTGGTGAAAAAAGCAGGTAGGGACAGAGAGGTTCTGACTCCTGGTTCTGACTCTCTGTGCCTTGGACTCCACCAAAACCCGGCTGAAGCCTCCACCCAGTAATTCCAAACTCTTTCCCCACCGGGTTCCCTGCACAGACTGACGCAAGCTTGTGTGTCTGTAAATGTGTTCTACTTTTTCACATCGTATTTGTATGTACATAAATTACATTAGATTTATACACAACATTTGCTTTAAATCTCACATCCTGTGCATTTCTCCACTGCAAAGTAGCTGTGGCCCAGGCAGCATTTGGAGTTGAAATGAAAGCCTTTATAATAAATATTACCCTTTGTGTGTGCATGGAGAATGGTCCCTCTCCCTCGTTTTCCCCGAGGGCACACTGTTTTGGCTTTATTGTGACACTTCACTGTGACACTGCAGTGAGGGAAAGCCAGCCTTTACATGTCACTGAAAGAAATGCCACAAAATGCTAACATATCTTCTCAAGGTTGCCAGAAATCATTTCCACTGGGTTGTGTTTTCCCATCTGCGGAGCTCTGAAATGTTAAGGAAATAAATGAGCTCTATTATCTATATTTTTCTAGTAGATGAGAAAGAAAGAGAAAAAACACACTCAGCCCTGCATTTATTGTTCTATTCAATCAAACTGTTGCTTTAAACATGCAGAGTCCTCCAGGGAGGGTTACCGATGCACCGAATACCTTTCAACGCCATATTTCATATCTGCGGTTTTGATTTTATTAAAATATCTTTAGAAGATCTGTATTTTTACCTGAAATTTTTGGTTACATATTCAGCAAATGCTTCCATTTAGTAACCTGAATTCTAACTGGAAATGGTGCTCCCTTTGATGACAACATATAGCTGAAATTTTATTCAAAAATGATGGCGGAAAATAGCAATTAGATAACACTGATGATAGATTCGTTGCTGGAGGTCTGTTTGATGTCAAATTCACTGACCTTTCAGGTTTAGGAAACTGTGAGTCCCTCAAACCTGTGCAATGAACACTGGGTTCTAGAATAATTTTCCAGCTTATTTTACACAGTAACAAATCCTCAATGCAAGTTAACAGAAGATATGTAACACATTTAAAAACACAGGTTCATATATGGGAATGGGCTTCCCAGGTGGCACTAGTGGTAAAGAATCCTGCCTGCCAATACCTATGTAAGAGATGCAGGTTTGATCCCTGGGTTGGGAAGATCCCCTAGAGGTAAACGTGAAAACCCACTCCAGTGTTCTTGCCTGGAGAATCCCCATGGACAGAGGAGCTTGGCGGGCTATAGTCCCTAGGGTTGCAAAGAGTTGGACACAACTGAAGTGACTCAGCACAAACATATATTGGGACATCCATTCCCCACATATATGGGAATAGAATCTAAAAAAGAGTGGATATATGTATATTTATAACCAACTTACTTTGCTGTATGCCTGAAACTAACAAAGCATTGTACATCAACTATTCTTCTATAAAAATTAATTTTAAAATGTAGGTTCAGCAATAGCTATACTTCGAGTACATCCCCCCAAAAGAATAGGACAGGAAAGCAAATGGAAGTTATAAATCCCTGAGTCCAAGAAACTATTTACGTGCTCCAATATTTCCAGGGAAAATTCATATTGGGTATTCCTGTTGTTTTCTTCTGGTTAGAAAGAAAAGCACAGACTCACAGGAAGGGACCCAGAAATATGAATCTGAAAAATGACTGACAGGAAAAAAAATGCAGATATGATGTTTGAAAAAGAAAAACTTATACTATCATTT